ACTTCCCTGCTTCCCCCCTTCCCACTGCCCTGCTTCCCCCCTTCCACTGCCCTGCTTCCCCCCTTCCACTGCCTGCTTCCCCCCTTCCACTGCCCTGCTTCCCCCCTTCCACTGCCCTGCTTCCCCCCCTTCCACTGCCCTGCTTCCCCCCTTCCACTGCCCTGCTTCCCCCCTCCCTGCCCTGCTTCCCCCCTTCCACTTCCCTGCTTCCCCCCTTCCACTGCCCTGCTTCCCCCCTTCCACTGCCCTGCTTCCCCCCTTCCACTGCCTGCTTCCCCCCTTCCACTGCCCTGCTTCCCCCCCTTCCACTGCCTGCTTCCCCCCCTTCCACTGCCCTGCTTCCCCCCCTTCCACTTCCCTGCTTCCCCCCCTCCACTGCCCTGCTTCCCCCCCTTCCACTGCCCTGCTTCCCCCCCTTCCACTGCCCTGCTTCCCCCCTTCCACTGCCCTGCTTCCCCCCTTCCACTGCCCTGCTTCCCCCCCTTCCACTGCCTGGCTTCCCCCCCTTCCACTCCCTGCTTCCCCCCCTTCCACTGCCCTGCTTCCCCCCCTTCCACTGCCCTGCTTCCCCCCCTTCCACTTCCCTGCTTCCCCCCTCCCACTGCCCTGCTTCCCCCCCTTCCACTGCCCTCTTCCCCCCCTTCCACTGCCCTGCTTCCCCCCTTCCACTGCCTGCTTCCCCCCTTCCACTGCCCTGCTTCCCCCCTTCCACTGCCCTGCTTCCCCCCTTCCACTGCCCTGCTTCCCCCCTTCCACTTCCCTGCTTCCCCCCTTCCATTGCCCCTTCCCCCCTCTTCCACTTCCCTGCTTCCCCCCTTCCACTGCCCTGCTTCCCCCCCTCCCCACTGCCCTGCTTCCCCCCCTTCCACTTCCCTCCTTCCCCCCTTCCACTGCCCTGCTTCCCCCCCTTCCACTGCCCTGCTTCCCCCCTTCCACTGCCCTGCTTCCCCCCCTTTCACTGCCCTTTTTTCCCCCCCTTCCACTTCCCTTTTCTTCCCCCCCCCCCCTTTCTTGCCCTTTCTTCCCCCCTTCCACTTCCCTGCTTCCCCCCCTCCCACTGCCCTCCTTCCCCCCCTTCCACTGCCCTGCTTCCCCCCCTTCCACTGCCCTGCTTCCCCGCCTTCCACTGCCTGGCTTCCCCCCCTTCCACTGCCCGGCTTCCCCCCTTCCACTCCCTGCTTCCCCCCCTTCCACTGCCCTGCTTCCCCCCCTTCCACTGCCATGCTCCCCCCCTTTCATTGCCCTGCTTCCCCCCCTTCCACTTCCCTGCTTCCCCCCCTCCCACTGCCCTGCTGCCCCCCCTTCCACTTCCCTGCTTCCCCCCTTCCACTGCCCTCCTTCCCCCCCTTCCACTGCCCTGCTTCCCCGCCTTCCACTGCCTGGCTTCCCCCCCTTCCACTGCCCTGCTTCCCCCCCTTCCACTGCCCGGCTTCCCCCCCTTCCACTGCCCTGCTTCCCCCCTTCCACAGCCCTGCTTCCCCCCTTCCACAGCCCTGCTTCCCCCCCTTCCACTTCCCTGCTTCCCCCCCTTCCACTGCCCTGCTTCCCCGCCTTCCACTGCCCTGCTTCCCCCCCTTCCACTGCCCTGCTTCCCCCCTTCCACTGCCCTGCTTCCCCCCCTTCCACTGCCCTGCTTCCCCCCTTCCACTGCCCTGCTTCCCCCCCTTCCACTGCCCGGCTTCCCCCCTTCCACTGCCCTGCTTCCCCCCCTTCCACTGCCCTGCTTCCCCCCCTTCCACTGCCCTGCTTCCCCCCCTTCCACTTTCCTGCTTCTCCCCCTTCCGTAGCATGGAAGCAATCCCCCCTTCCTGCCAGGAGCATGGGAGAGGGGACCATGGGAAAGGGGACCATGGGAGAGAGGCGGACAGGGCAAGCGCGTCGCAGAGCGGGGTACTATGTGGTGTGACGCGTCGGGCTAGCGAGGGATTGGCGCTGGGCTAGCGAGGGATTGGCGCTGCGTAAGGGCGGGATTGGCGCTGCGTTAGGGCGGGATTGGCGCTGCGTTAGGGCGGGATCGGCGCTGCGTTAGGGCGGGATCGGCGCAGCGTTAGGGCGGGATTGGCGCAGCGTTAGGGCGGGATTGGCGCAGCGTTATGGCGGGATTGGCGCAGCGTTATGGCGGGATTGGCGCAGCGTTAGGGCGGGATTGGCGCTGGCGAGGATATAGCTGTTCAGGTCTTTCCGTAGCGCGCCCTGGAGTGCTTGTGTTGCGTGCTGGTTCGGGACTAGCATGCTGCGCGGGGCGCGATTTGGTACGAAGTAGTTGTTAGTGTTACTGGAACTTGGTTCCGCTACCAGAGACGCACATTTTTCTACTGACATGGTAGGTAAGCACTGTGTTCGCGAGCGAGAATGGCGGGAAGGAGCCATTGCCACTGAGTACAGAGTAAAAAGGCAAAAGCTTTGGATCTTGGTGTGGCGGGTGGAAAGGCTTTGCTTGTTCCGTCGCTGGGTTGGGACAGGCGTCGCATAGCACGTCACCTCTCCCCGATCTCAAAATCGCACCCCTCGGGTGTGTATTTGGTTACCGTGTTTCTGTCGCGCCCGTTTTCGCGTGTAGTACAACTCAAAACCTTTGAGTCTTGAGTTTGGTCTGTCCGCTCGCTTTAAAATGCTTGACCTGCTTGACATTTGCTCCTTGCGATCGGTTCGCACGTCGTGAACTTTCTAAACGACGTCAAGCGGCTTCACAACCAATCTTCTTCTGCCACATCAACAACTCTCACGAAACCCAACAGACTCGGCGACCCAATTGACCACGACAGCGCGGTCCGATTCCCCCCAAGACAATTTCACCCCAACAGCATTCCCGAAGCGCATTTCGCAATTCCCTGAAGTTGTCGAATTTCCCACAGCAGCCAGCACAGCGCTAACTACAAATGCAACTGAACTGCCCCCCCCACTAAGTCAGGCACGCAAGTCCTCAGGAACTACCGTTTCCTCCTCACCACCTCTCGCCCGGTTCGCTCTCGCGTTCCCCACTCCGTCGCGGCTACCATCAGCAGGCTTCATTCGGCCTGACTGGAGAGCAGAATAGACTTCAGAAGCCACAGGCAGTCTGCACTGCAATCGCAGGTGGCACTGCCTCAGGGTTCACCCTACTAGTAGTAGGGTCGCTCTGAGTCAGCCAAGATGGCTGGCAGCATGGCCGTGAAGAGCCTGAGTCTGAAGAGGGTGGCACTCCTGTGGGTCGTTGCAGCTGGCTTCTTCAGTGCGTCTGTGGCAGGTAAGCCTCCTAGAAGCCCCTTTTCAAGTGTAGATAATCTGTGGCATGATGCCGGCTTGGTTCCCCTTCAACGTTTCATTCCGGAAGGGTTTACTCCCGGCCCGGATTCAGATTTAAATACCTCTGATTTTTTTTGTCTCAGCCCAAATAACCCTCAACTTGCTTTTTCTCAGGTGAACTGCCGTCCAGTGGGAGGAATCGGCCTTCGAGGGAGTTGAGGTGAGGCTGTATTCTCGGCATTGAGAGGTATTGAGAACAATCAGCTGTGGCAGTCCACATGTAGGTACCCTAGTAGGTATTTTGCTTTATTGTTCCGTTTATTCTTCACTCAGACAGCACTGTGGCCTGAACCATTCAACGCATCGCCTAGCAAAGTCCTCTTACAACGTGTTTCCAGCGGACTACTATCTCAGCGTCTTCGGCTTCAAGCTCCCTCTAGCTCCCTTCTCATCCCCCTTTCTCAACGTCCTCAGCTTCAACCTCCCTCTGCCTCCCTTCTCCTCCGTTTCCCGCACTCCCCTTTCCCCACTTGACAACTCTTTGATTCTTCACAGCGACACCAGTGGGGCAAGCGTGCTCAACGTGTTTCCAGCAGACTCCTTTCTCAAAGTCCTCAGCTCCAACTTCCCTCTGCCGCGTCTGCCCCAGCTGCCCTTCCCCTTCAAGGACAACAATTTCAAACACTCGCCTCCCCCCCGCCGCCGTACCCTCCCCCGCCATCCCCTTCACAGTGACAACTCCGGGGCAAGCGCGTTCAACGTGTTTCCAGCAGACTCCTACCTCGACGTCCTTGGCTTCCAACTCCCGCCCGCTTCCCTTCTCCTTCCTCCCCCAACCCCCTTGTCCCACACAACCACTCCTTGATTCTTCACAGGGACAACAGTGGGGCAACGTCGCTCAACGTGTTTCCAGCAGACTCCTACCTCAACGTCCTCAGCTTCACCTACCTCTGCCTTGCTTTCCCCAGCTGCCCCTCCCCTTCAAAGATAAGTTCACAAAGTTCAACCACTTACCTCCACCCCCTCCGCCCTCCCCTCCCCCTCCATCCCCTTTGCAGTGACAACTCCGGGGCGGGCTTGCTCAACGTGTTTCCAGCAGAATCCTATCTCAACGTCCTTGGCTTCAACCTGCCCCTGCCGCGCCTGCCCCAGCTGCCCTTCCCCTTCAAAGACAAGTTTCACAAGTTCAAGAAATCGCCTCCTCCCCCCCCGCCCTCCCCTCCCCCTCCATCCCCTTCTCCCCCTCCTCCTTCTCCTCCTCCCCCCAAGAAAAAGTCTCCTCCCCCTCCCAAGAAAAAGTCGCCCCCGCCTCCCAAGAAAAAGAGCCCTCCGCCTCCGAAAAAGTCCCCACCTCCCCCTGAGAAAAAGTCGCCTCCTCCCCCCAAGATGAAATCGCCCCCTCCCCCCAAGAAGTCTCCCCCTCCTCCTGAGAAAAAATCTCCCCCTCCCCCCGAGAAAAAGTCCCCTCCCCCCCCTGTAAAGAAATCTCCTCCCCCGCCCAAGAGAGAGTCCCCCCCTCCTCCCAAGAAAAAATCTCCGCCTCCCCCTGAGAAAAAGTCCCCCCCTCCCTCTGAGAAAAAGTCTCCCCCTCCTCCCAAGAAAAAATCTCCGCCTCCCCCTGAGAAAAAGTCCCCCCCTCCCCCCGAGAAAAAGTCTCTCCCCCCTCCCAAGAAAAAGTCCCCTCCTCCCCCCGAAAACAACCCCCCCCCGCCCCCCAAGAAAAAGTCGCCCCCTCCCCCCAAGAAAAAGTCTCCTCCCCCTCCCAAGAAGGAGTCTCCTCCCCCACCCTCTCCCTCTCCCCCTCCTCCTCCACCTCGCAAGCCATCCAAAAAGGACCAGCTCATCGTCATCCTCCTTAAGGGTGCTTCGATACTAGTGCGCAAGGCGTACACCATTCTCCCCGGTGACAAAGCGTCTCAAAAGGGCACGCTGTGGGCCGTGGTAACCGCACTGGGTGACGCTGAGGGGCTTATCAACGAAGGGCAGTGGGACATGGCACAGAAGCAGGTGGAGAATAGCGTTGTGACGCTGGATGAAGTGAGGGAGGAGGTGAGGGAGGGAAGGTGGGGTCTGGGGGGGTGGGTGCAGCAGCAGGCGGCAGTGGGGGCGATTTCGCTGGCACGGGTGGAAATAGTGAAGGCGCAGGCCATGCTCCAGTAGTGGTAACGAGAGGCATTGAGGGGCGGATGGGTGTAGAGAATGGGTGCAGAGAATGGGTGTAGAGAATGGGTGCAGAGAATGGGTGCAGCATCAGGCAGCAGCGGGGGCGATTTCGCAAGGCACAGGCGATGCTCCAACAGTGGTAACGAGGCATTGAGGGGAGGGTGGGTGCAACAGTAGGCAGCAGTGGGGGATATTTCGCTGGCTAGGGGTGAACTTCTGGAGGCTTCGGCACTGGTCCAGCTGTGAGAAGATGAAAGTAAAAGGGCAATGGGGATGCCGTCTCAGGAGAGAGAAAAGTCAAGGCGCTGTCTCAGTTAAGGCGCTGCTCGAGGCAGCTAGAGGCACTCAACCGACCAGCTGGAGTGCTGCGGCAGCTGTTCCGAGGAGTGGAATAAGGGGGCTGCCATGGCAATGGCAACCGACCAGTGAAAGCCACGTACCTCTGTGGTTACGCAGCCGAACCATGCCTGTATGCATGCCAAATAATGAATGTTCTGATAGTATACTTGTGTTGAGAAAATAAAAGAAAAAAAGGAGAAGGAACGAAGCAGGATTCTTACTCGACGTGAGGTGTGAGGATAGTAGGGTACGGAGAGGAGGCACAGGAGAGTGGGGAGCGGAGCAGGCCCTGACATGTGGCGAATACCTGATGCTGGGATGTGGGGGGTGATGGTGGGATGTGGGGGGTGATGCTGGGATGTGGTGCTGATGGGGGGATGTGGTGCTGATGGGGGGATGTGATGGTAGGAAGTGGGTGCCGGGGAGGGTGGGAGGGGAATGAGAAATGGGGAGGTTGGGGTGAAATTTCCAAGGAGAGACAAGACTAGAGATGCAGCTGAGCTGAGAATCGCTGTGATGTTGTGAGGATAGGGAAACACCTCTAGTGTTCAATGTCATTTTTTAGTCGACTCAAATGTCATTTTTGAGTCGACTCGAATGTCATTTTTGAGTCGACTCAAGAATCGCTGTGATGCTGTGAGGATAGGGAAACACCTCTAGTGTACAATGTCGCCGGCTTCGAGAATCCTAAGGTTATATGCGAATTCTGCGTCGATAGATCTGCGTGGTGTCAGAGATGGCGGAGATTTGTGTGCAAGTCGTGCGAAAGGTCATGACATCCGCCTTGCGATCTGTCACACGATTTGCCACTCGATTTGCCACTCGATTTGCCACACCATTTTGCACACAAATCGTGTGACAGGAGGGCATAACACCTGCCAGCACGCACGGCGCAGACGATAAAGCCTTCCATGCGGTATGGCAACAGAAACCAGACGACTCGTCGGATGAATCCTCGGAGGCTTAGGGTGTGTTTATGGCCGCAAGTCAAGCTTCTAGTCTAGTCAAGTGGGGCAGTCAGAGCTCTAAACCGCTCTAATCAGGCGCGAAGGGTTCTGAACCGCTCTGGAAGTTGGCCACTTGACTAGTCTACAAACTTGACTAGCAGCCAGAAACGCACCCTTAGCCTCCTCTCACCCAAAACCCGATGAACGAGGCATCTATGGTTCCACCCAAATGCGCGCATGCAGGCCATGCGCTCCTACCTAAATGCTACAAGAGCATTTCTACGGAATTTTCTGGATCTGGTGGAAGAAATTCGTTATGCCAAGGATACGATAAGTTGAGGATTTTGCCTCGTCCATGGAGCCTAGAATCCTCGATATTCTGGAAACCTCGTTATGCTACGAGTATGCTTGATCTAGACGCGGGAATGGCGCGCTGCGAAAAATATCAATACATACACAGGTGCCATTGACAAATGCTTGGTCAAGATGCGTAAATGGTGTGCTTCAAGAAAATGAATCACATATTATTTTGAAGGGTGTGCAAAGATCCTTCAACGTTTTCAAGCAAGCTATTAGATGCAATGTTGCACGGATTGAGAGGATGTCATTTCTCACAACCATGCCAACAAAACAAGCAAAGTTGTGTCCTCCCCTGACAGTAGCATCTAGAATGTAGCAACCAAGATTCATCTCATCTCCACCAGCCAACTTCTACCGCAGAGAGAAAGCATTCTGGCTGGGGTTCAGAAACAGCCTCATGTAGAGCTGGGACCAACTAGAGTTGTCCACGGATTCCAGTCATTGAGTTGGACAAATGTAGTATAAACTGCTCCTTTCTTCCCTCCCAGCGCCAAGTAACGCAATGAACTTCTGTAACACCTAACCAGAGCCTCATTTAATGGCGGCACGAACCTCAGCAGTAACATCCGCTGCCTTCCTGTCTGCATGGAGATTGGCAACCTTGCCCTTAGCAGCATAGTAGTCAATCACCTGCATATTCCAGGAAATGAGAAAGCACAGTAAGAATCACAGTAAGACAGTGCAAAAATTCAGCCAGCCATGCAAACCCATGGAACCTAATATCAACAAGAAAACGAGTCGCGTCATGTGAGCGAACTTCACCGCAGGGATGTGATGTGAAGTATGTGGATGGAGAATATGGCATTTATCAGCTTACAGGAGAGGTTTGCTTATGGAATGCCGCCAATCGGCTGCGCAAAGTGTCGGCATTGTCATCCTTACGTTGAACCAGGGGCTCACCGGTGATCTGACAGGCAAAAAGCGCATATGGGGAATTTGAGGGGGGTTTTTGAGACAAGACACGTGGGCTGGGGAGAATTTGAAGGCCCAAAAGAATGTAAAAATTTCCACCAGAACCTTCCATTATGGTATATGTACATTGCTTTTACTCCGCATGTTGACTAAAACTTATCCACATCAAGACTACCACTTACATCGTCCTTTCCAGGAACTTTCGGCGGAGCGAACTTGGTGTGGTAGGAGCGGCCGCTGGCAGGGTGGATCCACCGGCCGCAGATCCTCTCCTCGAGCACCGAGTCAGGCACCTCGAAGTTAAGCACCTTATCGACCTTCTGCCCCTTCTTCTCCAGCATCGCGTCCAGCTGGTGGACACAGCAAGGGAGAAAATAGAGGCGCATCAGAAATGCATCCACCTGCCGGTCCAGCCGCAGATTCTCTCCTCCAGGACCGAGTCAGGCACTTCAAAGTTGAGCACCTCGTCCGCCTTCTGGCCCTTCTTCTCCAGCATCGCGTCCAGCTGTTCTTGGCCACAGGATGGACGATGGAAAACGAAACCAAGTGAGAGGTGGTCGAGTTCGCTCACAGAGCCACGCGGTTGCTTGGTTCTTCTACCGATTCATGTAAGTCAGGGTTTCGTGTGAATGCGGTCCCAATGCGCTCACCTTCTCCGCCTGGACGACCGTGCGCGGTAAGCCGTCCAGGATGAAGCCCCTTGCTGAAGGGCGGCCGCGCGGCCGCTTGACCAGGTGTATTCTGAGTTGGACTAGAAATACATACGGACGTCTTGGGTTGGCTCACCTTCTCCGCCTGGACGACCGTGCGCGGGAAGCCGTCGAAGATGAAGCCCTTGCTGCAGGACGGCTGAACGGCCGCTTTACCAGGTGTATTTGTGTCAGTATAAAAACATATCGGGAATATAGGGACGTCTCAAGTCGGCTCACCTTCTGTGCCTGGACGACCGTGCGCGGGAAGCCGTCGAGGATGAAGCCCTTCCCGCAAAACGGACGCGCGGCCGCTTGACCAGGTGTATTTCGAGTCACACTCGAGACGTATAGAGAACTCTCAAGTTGGCTCACCTTCTCCGCCTGGACGACCGTGCGCGGGAAGCCGTCGAGGATGAAGCCCTTGCCGCAGGACGGCCGCTTGAGCGCCTCCTCGATGATGCCCACCACCAGATCGTCCGACACGAGCTCGCCCTGATGGCGAGAGGATATGGAAAGAGTGAGTGCTTCCTCGCATGCGTGAGAAATGGAGCGTGCAAAACGGACAAGGGAGGCCCATACGCGGCGAAAGGAAGGTCGCGAACAAGAGGTGAAGGACTGAGCACTAGAGACAAAATGCCACCATGCGAGCGAGATCTTCAGTGGAGTGACAAGAATAATGCCGCAGCGCACCTCCTCCATGGTCTCTTTCGAGTCGACACAAAATACTTGAAGTATAGGAATGGGTTCAGTGTGGCGACAGGGATAATGCTGCGGTGCACCGCACCTTTTCCATGGTCTCTTTCGCCTTGAGACCCAGCGGCGTCTGTTTGGCGACGGCAGCCCGGAGCATATCCCCGGTGGCCAGATGGCACAGGCAGTTCTCCTCCTTGATTATGGGGGACTGAGTGCCCTTACCGCAACCAGGAGGACCTAAAACGGATCAGCAGGAATGGAAGAGGGAATAAAACCAGTGAGTGAAGGAACAACACATAAGGAGGAAAGCAAGGGCATGGCATCCGCAACACGAAGTGATCGAGCGGGGGGGAGAGGAAAGAAGGAAAAACTCTCACCGATCAGAATAACTCTCTTCTCGGGCTTGGGAGCGCATTTCATCCGCCTTATAAGCTCGCCCATAAGATCCCTGTCGCAGTAATCCTCCAAAGCGTCGGCCATGATGAGACACTGCTTAGAGACTCAGCGGCACTGAAGAGAAGCTGGGAAGGATGACCAGCGGAGACTCGAGCCTGAACCAGGTTCTGCAAAAACTACCACCAGACCAGAGCCTGAACCAGATTCACAGAAAATAAACTGAAAGGCAGGAATGCCAGAAATCCTGACCTGGTCCTCGTAAAAACCTCGAAGCTAGATTCAAAATCTGGATAAAGCAGATTTCTGCTGGCTTCAGCTCTGCTGATCTGGTCTGGGCAGACGGACCAATGACGTGCAAGCTCTGGAGTCTAGGGGCAATTGGTTTGGGCAACAAGTACTGCTGGGAAGGAACGCACTGGTTGGGGGACTCAAGCTGGCAGTCCACGTCAGCTTTCCAAGAAGCACGCTGCCAAGCTGGAGAAAAGTGGTCCCAGCGGCGCGTTTCATCCGGGGGTGACTAGCCTGGGCCAAGCGTTGAACGAGCCGCCACGCGTGAGCGTGTGCAAATCAACGTGGCAGGAAGGAAACAGCCAGATGAAGTTTCGATGTCCGCCTCGGCCCGAACCTCTTCTTTTCGAAGCTGTAACGCGTACGAAGATTTCCGACATCGTTTCAGTTTGGATGAACTGTACATAAGAAAAGAACTTCTACAAGTAACATTTTCGTAGGGAAACTCCAAAACGCATGTCACGGAAGCAGATTTCATGCAGTAGGGGATTTCAATACACCTCGAACATAACGACACGTGGCCAGAATACTCCAAGGCCAAGGTGCAAGGTCTCGTGATTGGATTACGCCCTGATTGTCACTGATCAGCAGCAGCAGCAGCAGATTATGGTCCCATCTAGTTCTCCTAGCAGTAAGTTTTTGCAAGAGAGCTCCAATTTTGGTCTGATGCTATGGCGTCCTTGGCTATGAACACCGTTCTCCAGAATGCCTCGGTGATGCAAAATAGGCTTCGTCAGAAAGCGAGTATTGTTCCCGTCGGCTTTGGTTCAGCGGCTAGTGCCAACACGTGTAGAGCCACCGCGGAAGCTTCTCCATCAGCTCGAGCGGATAACGCGCAGACCTGCTTGCGTTGCGGAAACCTTTACACTCCGGATGACAATTCCCCTGTAGCTTGCAAATACCATGGCCATATGACAGGTTAGATACTATTTTTTCGCCTGTGTGCCTACCATTTGTGTACCTGAAGTTTCATGCTACCAGGCCTGGTCATCAGACATTTCTGAGGCATTCTTGGTCACAGAAGACAGTGTCGGAAGTGCCATGGACAGATGGCAGGTCACATCTCTTGACATCGAAGGCCACATTTTGCAGCATTCAAGGCCACATTTTTCAACGTTAAGAGCATATCTGGTTGCCTCATCCTGCTTTCGTTACGATGATGGTTCCGTTCCGTTTCTGGTTGCTCATCGCCTTGATCCGCTTCATCACTCTCGGACCTTGTCTGGCTTTGTTGCTCTGTTCCTGAACTAATCCCCGGTATGAGCAGGAGACAAGGGCCTGTTTGCATATGCACCGCCTCATCAAGGTGTCGACGGCGACTGGTCAGAAAAGAGCGGAATCATAGTCTACGTCTGGAACGATAAGGAGGAGCGGCCGAACACAGGACACAAGAACTGGAAGCGGCGGTGGACATGCTGTGGAGTGTACGATGAAAATGGTGCTCCCTGCAGATCAGGCTGGCATGTTTCCTATGACGATGGAGCGACTAGGTTCTGAAGCTCCATTCCAAATGGTAACCTCCGTTGGTCAGGGAAGTGCTTTTTCAGGTTTCCTTTCACAGCTGTTTTGAGTACCCATCTTCTCTTCATGCCTGCTAATGATGTTTTCCAGTGATTTGCAGGTAAAACCGCCTCACTACAGTACCATTTCTGGTACTGCCTCAGTTCCAAAGGCTTGCATGCCATGCCAGAACCTAGACCGCTTTGCCATCCAGTGAATGTTTGGTGCTGACTGACTAGTCAGACACCGGACTGAAAGCAATATGGATGAGGACATACGATCCGAGGCAAGGGATGTACGGTACCTTCCCAGCCTAGCAGATCGGGCTGGCATGTTTCCTATGATGGTGGGGCAACAGATTTTCTGGAACTGCCTGAACAGTAACCTTTACTCACCAGTCAACTACTCTCCAGAATGCTTTGTTCTCAGGTTTCCTGTGTCTCTACATTCTTTGTACTAATGTGCACCAGCGCATTGCAGGCTAATCTCAGCAAGGCATAATCATGTTCCTAATGTTCAGCACAAGTGACTGAACCCACTCAGTTTCTGTAACATCTCATTACCAAACGGATGAGCTTACATAAGTGAAGGGGACAATAAGTAGTAGCTATCTGATGTGTCCATGAGAAGCTCCAAGCGAACATTCATGGACTGAGAGAGGCGGAGACGTGGGAGAGTGCGGAACGGACCGAAGGTTGGAGCGGGTGTCACTGGTGTTGTTGATGTCCGTCCGCTCCCAACATTAGCTAATGGATTCAACATGTCCCCAGCCTTTGAAACATTCAACTTGCCCGCATCTGTCTCTGACCCAGCCAGCCCCCGTCCCCCACCGGCAGCCATGCCAGCAGAACCAGCTGCACCACCTATGGTACCATCCATGCTGCTGCCACCCTCTAGCCCTTGTGTTTCACCAAGATTACACGGAGTGGCACCTCCAACAGGGCCATCCCAACGGTTACCACTCGCCAGTCCTGTAGCACCAGCAGCAGCACCACCAGCAGCACCAAGACTGTGCCTGAAAGCACCGCTTGCTCGTGCCATGTCTACTTGCATCTGCATCATCTGCGCTTCCATGTCTTTGCTTAGTTCCATCCTCATTCTCTCAGTCTCCAACATCCGCTCCAGTTTGGCACGCTCCACTTGCTCGTACACTGTGGCGAGTTGCCTTACGGCTAGCGCCATGCCCTTTAACGAGGATGAGGCTCCTAGGGGGGCTTTTTTCTTCATTGATGTGGCAGGAGCAGCTCTGAGCGCCCTACTGATCTTCTGTGACTGTGCTGCTTCGCCCTGCACCAGAGGATTCTGCGATGGTGGCTGCTGCTGCTGATACTGCTGTTGTTGTTGCTGTTGCTGCTGATACAGTTGTTGATACTGCTGTTGTTGTTGCTGCTGCTGCTGCTGCTGCTGCTGCTGCTGCTGCTGCTGCTGATGATACTGCTGTTGGTGTTGCTGCTGCTGCTGGTGCTGCTGTTGCTGCTGATACTGCTGTTGCTGCTGCTGATACTGATACTGATACTGCTGCTGCTGCTGCTGATCTCGCTGCCGCTGTTCTCGCTGCCGCTGCTGTTGATGGTGTTGTTGCTGCTGCTGCTCATGCTGCCGCTGTTGTTGGAGCTGCTGCTGCTGCTGCTGCTGCTGCTGCTGCTGCTGATGATGATGATGCTGTTGCTGTTGCTGCTGTTCTTGCTGCCGCTGCTGCTGCTGCGGCATGCCTACATACGGCACTGGCTTCATCCCCGCAGCAACCTCACGAATAATCCCCCACCTCTGCTGCCGGAAATCAGGGGGCGGAACGGAAAATGGCGGAACGGAAAATGGCGGAACGAAAAATGGCGGAACGCCCCCCAAGTGAGGGGCGCGGGGCGAGACGACAACGCGAGAGGTGCGAACGGGGCTGCAGGCAAACGGTGGCGCGACGGTCGGGACGAACGAAAGGGCGCGAAAAAGGAAAGGCGACGGGGAGGGAAAGGGCGACGGACGAGGATCTACGGTACGAGGAGGGACGGGGAAAGGCTCAGCGTCGATGGTGTAACTGAGACGAATTTCCCTGCTGAAGCGGCGGTAGTGCCACGGGGAATGTCCGTGTGAAGGGAGAGGGGCGAGGGGCTGAAACGCGTGATGCGAGGGGCGGGTCAACTGCTGTGGCGCGGAAGTCGCTTCTCGAGGCGGACGTCAACTAGAGACGGATCTGCAGTGATGGCTTCCGTGCGGTACGGTACGGTACCGGAAGTCGCTTCTCAGGCATTTGCATCACTGCATCCGTCAGACAGTACGGTACCCTCGTGACAGGAGAGGTGGACATGACAAATTGATCGAGGTGAGGCAGACTGGGTGTATCAAGAACAGTTCCCACCCACCCTCTCTACTGTCAAGTCCAGTCTCTTGAGGTTGTGAAGGCGGAGAGGTGAGCTGGCTGGTTTAGGCCAACCGTGCTGCATACTTTTCACAGCCAATGGAAAGTTAGGGGTGCGCCTAAAAAATAGATACCTCTCACAGCCAATGGAAAGTTAGGGGAACATTACGTTTAGTTGAATAGAGAGCATACACGCACGCACACATGTAAGCATGCTGTGCTGACGTTATAATAGAGTCTCCATGTGCCGAGTAGGTATTTTCAATCCACCCTTTCCTCCAACCCCGCTCCCCAACCCAACCCAACCCAACCTGACCCAACGCCTGCCCTCCCTTGGAACAGCTCCACTTATTGACATCCCCTTCACAAGCAGCTTCGCTGCAAGTGAAGTGACATCCCCACCATGCGATTCCCCGCTTGGTAGCCTGTTAACTCGTCATCCTCTTACAGATCCCAGTGACTTGTCAAAAGACTCCTCCGTGCCTCATGTACCCCCTCCCAGGCCATTCCTGCTCCCAGGTCAGCTCTCCTCCCAATTCAGCTCCGGTCCCCATTCCTGCTCCCATTCCTTACTGCCGTAAGTCTTACAGTGGCCCTCCCTGCCACAGCATTTCCATGCCATTGTCGCACAAGTCCAAACCAGCAACTGCATTGCTTCTCGCGAAGGTGCTGCTGCTCCTGTAGCTGCCAACCGCCCACCCGTTGCTGCGACAGCTGGTGGGCGGTGTAGCTGCATTGATCCTTATGTCAACGAAAGAAAGTTTCGAGCCACTCCTGTACACGCCTCTGCTCATCTCTGAGTCGACTCAAAAGTCGCCTCTGCTCATCGTGTCAGGTTAGTCTTGTCAAGGTCGACGCTCGTCAGTGCCTCTGCACCTCTCTGCTCCATCTTGTCCTTGCTGTTACCTGGTGACCATGCTATTGTAACACTGCAGCACCTGTAAGGCCACTCGAGTTTGGCTACCTGTAAGGCCACTCGAGTCCACTGTAGTCCACTCTAGGATCACCTGTGGGCTACTGTTAACCGCTGCTCCCTGGTAACAAAGCTGCCTCTGGTAACCAAACTGCTCCCTGGTAACAAAGGTGCTTCTGGTAAACGAACTGCTCCCTGGTAACCAAGCTGCTCCTGGTAACCCAGCCTCTCCCTGGTGACCGTGCCACTCCCTGGTATCCATGATACTAACTGGTAACCGTGCAGCTATCTGTAGGGCCACTGCGCGCCTATCAGCTCGATGGGCTCCTCCCCTCTGAACGCCGATGTGGAGTACCATGCTGAGATGAAGCAGCTCTCCCTTATCTCCCTCCCTGCCGCACTGCTGCACGTGCAAACTATCTGTAGGGCCACTGTGCCACTGTCTGTAGGGCCACTGCGCCACTATCTGTAGGGCCACTGAGCGCCAATGAGCTCGATGGGCTCCTCCCCTCGGAATGCCGATGTGGAGTACCATGCTGATATGATGCAGCTCTCCCTTATCTCCCTCCCTGCTGCACTGCTGGACGTGCAAACTATCTGTAGGGCCACTGCGCCACTATCTGTAGGGCCACTGAGCGCCAATGAGCTCAATGGGCTCCTCCCCTCGGAATGCCGATGTGGAGTACCATGCTGATATGATGCAGCTCTCCCTTATCTCCCGCGCTTCCTCTGGCGTCTGTGCGGTGACAAGGGGTGATGAGGGGTAACAGACAGACAGAGGGTGGAAGGAGGGAGTAGTGAGAGAAGGAAACAGCTCCATCGGCTCCTGTGCTTGGGTGGAATACCATGCCGATATGATGCAACACTTCCTTATCCCCTGCGCCTCCTCTGGGTGGGCAAGGATAATAAGGGGTGACAAGGGGTGACAAGGGGTGACAAGGGGTGCCAAGGGGTGACACAGTAACAAGCGATGTCCAGACGGCATGGTCCATTCTCAGAGGCTTTGCATGGACCATTGCCAGAGACCTAATGACTAGTCTGTACCGACATGGACTGATTTGACTTCTGTTGACTCGGGTTGACTCACCGTGACTCGCGTTGACTCATCTTGTCTCGCGTTGACTCATCTTGGCTCGCGTTGACTCACCATGACTCACGTTGACTCACCATGACTCGTGTTGACTCACCATGACTCGCGTTGACTCACCTCACAGCGCTGCTGCAGGGAAGCAGGGCTGGGCATGGTCCATCCCCAGAGGCGCTCCCCAATCTTCAAAGCCCGCTGCAGCTGCTCCGGGCTCATGCCCACTGGTGTGGTGCAAGGGACGGGGTGCAAGGGACGGGGTGCAAGGGACGGGGTGCAAGGGACGGGGTGCATACAAGGGGGCACGGTCAAGGCACACATTCAAAAAACGTTCAAAGCCCGCTGCAGCTGCTCCGGGCTCATGCCCACTGTATGGGCGTGGGAGGACACGGGGTACCCTGAAAGTACATAACTGGGATACTGGATGAGATTGACTGTTGAGTCGACTCAAAAGTCACCTCGTTACTATGGGCGTGGGAGGACAAGGGGTACCCTGAAAGTGCATAACTGGGATACTGGATGAGATTTAAAACACATACCAACCAACCCCTCACCCTTCCCATCCCCACCCCTTCCCATCCCCACCGTCCCCACCACTTCGCGTCCCCCACCTTCCCATCCCCCACCTTCCCATCCCCCACCTTCCCATCCCCCACCTTCGCATCCCCCACCTTCGCATCCCCCACCTTCGCATCCCCCACCTTCGCATCCCCCACCTTCGCATCCCCCACCTTCCCATCCCCCACCTTCCCATCCCCCACCTTCCCATCCCCCACCTTCGCATCCCCCACCTTCGCATCCCCCCACCTTCGCATCCCCCACCTTCGCATCCCCCACCTTCGCATCCCCCCACCTTCGCATCCCCCACCTTCGCATCCCCCACCTTCGCATCCCCCACCTTCGCATCCCCCACCTTCGCATCCCCCACCTTCCCATCCCCCACCTTCCCATCCCCCACCTTCGCATCCCCCACCTTCGCATCCCCCACCTTCGCATCCCCCACCTTCGCATCCCTCACCTTCGCATCCCCCACCTTCGCATCCCCCACCTTCGCATCCCCCACCTTCGCATCCCCCACCTTCCCATCCCCCACCTTCGCATCCCCCACCTTCGCATCCCCCACCTTCGCATCCCCCACCTTCGCATCCCCCACCTTCGCATCCCCACCTTCGCATCCCCCACCTTCGCATCCCCCACCTTCCCATCCCCCACCTTCCCATCCCCCACCTTCGCATCCCCCACCTTCGCATCCCCCACCTTCGCATCCCCCACCTTCGCATCCCCCACCTTCGCATCCCCCACCTTCGCATCCCCCACCTTCGCATCCCCCACCTTCCCATCCCCCACCTTCCCATCCCCCACCTTCCCATCCCCCACCTTCGCATCCCCCACCTTCGCATCCCCCACCTTCCCATCCCCCACCTTCGCATCCCCCACCTTCGCATCCCCCACCTTCGCATCCCCCACCTTCCCATCCCCCACCTTCCCATCCCCCACCTTCGCATCCCCCACCTTCGCATCCCCCACCTTCGCATCCCCCACCTTCGCATCCCCCACCTTCGCATCCCCCACCTTCGCATCCCCCACCTTCCCATCCCCCACCTTCCCATCCCCCACCTTCGCATCCCCCACCTTCCCATCCCTCACCTTCCATCCCCCACCTTCCCATCCCCCACCTTCCCATCCCCCACCTTCGCATCCCCCACCTTCGCATCCCCCACCTTCGCATCCCCACCTTCGCATCCCCCACCTTCGCATCCCCCACCTTCGCATCCCCCACCTTCCCATCCCCCACCTTCCCATCCCCCACCTTCGCATCCCCCACCTTCCCATCCCCCACCTTCCCATCCCCACCTTCCCATCCCCACCTTCCCATCCCTCACCTTCCCATCCCCCACCTTCCCATCCCCCACCTTCCCATCCCCCACCTTCGCATCCCCCACCTTCGCATCCCCCACCTTCGCATCCCCCACCTTCGCATCCCCCACCTTCGCATCCCCCACCTTCCCATCCCCCACCTTCCCATCCCCCACCTTCCCATCCCCCACCTTCCCATCCCCCACCTTCGCATCCCCCACCTTCCCATCCCCCACCTTCCCATCCCCCACCTTCCCATCCCTCACCTTCCCATCCCCCACCTTCCCATCCCCCACCTTCGCATCCCCCACCTTCGCATCCCCCACCTTCGCATCCCCCACCTTCGCATCCCCCACCTTCCCATCCCCCACCTTCCCATCCCCCACCTTCCCATCCCCCACCTTCCCATCCCCCACCTTCCCCATACACCAACAGCGCCAGCAGTCTCACCTGCGCCATGCGCCAGGGTCAGCACCTGCGCCCGAATCTGGGCGCGTCTCTCCTCCTAAGCCTCGGCTTTCCCACCCTCTCCTGAGTTCACTCAAAGAACAGGGGTTCTCACCTGTGCCGTGCGCCAGGTCTCACCTGTGCCGTGCGCCAGGTCTCACCTGTGCCGTGCGCCAGGTCTCACCTGTGCCGTGCGCCAGGTCTCACCTGTGCCATGCGCCAGGTCTCACCTGTGCCATGCGCCAGGGTCAGCACCTGCGCCACGAATCTGAGCGCGTATCTCCTCCTGGGCCATCGCCAGTAGATGGTGCACGCCACCCGTGGCTTTCCAGCACCGCACCCCTCTCTCACCCATACACCAACGAGCAGGGGTTCTCACCTGTGCCATGCGCCAGGGTCAGCAGCTGCGCCACGAATCTGGGCGCGTCTCTCCTCCTGGCCCATCGCCAGTAGATGGTGCACGCCACGCGGGCGGCAATGGCCAGTAGCACGTCGACACGTGTCGCATTGGAGAGCAGCGGAGCAGAAGGCTCTACGGCAGAGATTGAATCCGGGGCAACAGAGGAGTCCAAGTGCACTGCTGAGTCGATGATTTGGAGAAGAGATGCCGCTGCTTCAGGGCCCATTGGGAGGGTCACTAGAAGGGACTCTAGTGACCAGTCGAAGAGCTCGAGTGAGTCGACGTCCGTTCCCGTACCCTCCTCGTTCACAGCCTGTGGTGAGCAGTGGAAGGGGGTTGAGAAAGGGGGAAAGGGGGGGTGGGGGTGGGGAGGGTGGGATGGCGAAAGAAGTGAAAGGAGAGGGAAGATGGGGCAGCACGGGGTGGTTGGGGTTTCTCTTTTGAGGCGCCTCAAAAGCGATTTCTCTTCTCTCCAGCATGCACCGGATCGCCTTCCACCCCAGTGACCCCGTGCCCCCCCGTGCCTTGTGCCCCCCCCTGCCTTGTGCTCCCCCCTGCCTTGTGCCCCCCCTGCCTTGTGCCCCCCCCTGCCTTGTGCCCCCCCGTGCCTTGTGCCCCCCGGTGCCTTGTGCCCCCCCGTGCCTTGTGCCCCCGCCGTGCCTTGTGCCCCCCCATGCCTTCTGCCCCCCCGTGCCTTGTGCCCCCCGTGCCTTGTGCCCCCCCGTGCCTTGTGCCCCCCCCGTGCCTTGTGCCCCCCCCGTGCCTTGTGCCCCCCCCGTGCCTTGTGCCCCCCCGTGCCTTGTGCCCCCCCCGTGCCTTGTGCCCCCCCCCCCTGCTCCCTGGTGCTTTGTCCAAATGCTGTGCCTTTCAGGTGCGTACTTACCAGGTGGGTATTCAGCACGGCCCGCACCCACACGGCGGGCAGCACGGGGTGGTTGGGGTTGCGCCTCTCCAGCATGCGCCCTATGGCCTTCCACGCCAGTGACCCCGTACCCCCTGGTGCCTTGTCCAAATGCAGCAGCAGCGCCGCCATCGCCGCGTCCCTCTCCTCCCTCTCCTGCTGTGCGTCTCTGCTGCTGCTTTCCTTGCCCTCGCTCGCTCCAGGTTCAAGTGTGCCTTTGGAGTCGGACACCACTGAGTTCCCCTGCTGATTAACAGCAGCCTCAGTAGCAGTAGTGCCATAACCAGCAGCACCAGCAGCACCAGCACCAGCCAATTCAGCTACAAGCAGGCCAGCAGACACACCACCACCGTTCGCATCAGATGCAGCAGCAGAACAAGCCGAGCCAGGAGAACCAGCAGCATCACGAGAGTCGGGGGGTGCTGCAGCAGCCACCCTCGCCTCCTCTCTCTCCCGGGCCACTTCGGCCACAAGGCATCTCAGGATGATGCAAGCACACACGTCCGTGTGGCGCTCGTGCTGCTGCCGCACGCCTTCGCTGTCCAATGACAGGTGCCGGCTGAGTCTAAGGTATGCCTCTGCCAGATCCCGCACCCACGGGATGGTGGGGGCCGCTTCAGAGTCTGGGATCATGGGGATGATGTTCTTGGGTAGGTGGTTTGTGGATGCCGTAGTGGTGGCTGCTGCTGCTGTTGCTGTGTCGGCATCAACAGCGGTGGCAGCAGCAACAGCAGCAGCAGCAGCAGCAGTGCCTGTAGCAGTGAACCCGTTGGGAAGAGAAGAAGAGGCAGGCAGGGAAGCAGGACAGGAGAGAGGGGGAGGCGAAAACAGCTCCGTCCCAACCCCATCCTTTTCCCTCATCCCCCCTCCACTCAGGCTCCTGGGGGGTGGCCTGGGAGCAGGCTCGGGCCAAGCCTCCGGGAGAGCCTCGGGAAGCACCAGCAACAACTGGTCCATGAGGGCATCGCAGAACCTCCTCACATACGCCGATCTAGAAGCCTCGGTTGGAGCCTGTGTCAGCGCCGTTTCAGCCACCCCAACCACTCTCTGTATCCGCCTCCGCACCGGCTCGACCCCCCTCGGGCCCACCGTCCTCCTTATAACCTCTTTACAGTCCGCTTCAGTAGCGTACACGCTCCCCAGCACGCGCACCCGTGCCCGATACCCCGCCTCCTCGCACCCCATCTCCTCCAGGAATTCAGCAATCTCTGCCACGTCATCCGGCCAGAGGCTCGGGAGAGACTGCATGGCGACGGCAACAGCTAGGGCGAGGATCCCTGGGCCCAGGTGCAACCCCCCCTGGACGCTGCCGTGGGTCAGATACAGCCTGTCCAGATGTGCACATTCGATTGGGTTCATGCCGTTGGTTGCTGCTGTTGACTCCACCAGTAGCACCTCTGCCAGCTCAGCCAGTCTGTACGGCCCCCTTGCTTCAGATGAAACCTGCTCAGATACCACCTGCTCGGACGCACCCTTCGCTGTAGGGTGAGTCGGGGGAGCAGAGAGGGTGGGCGATGCAGGCGTTATAGGCGTAATCGGCACGGCCGTTACAGGCGTCATCGGGAGGTGGAAGGAGGGCTGGTTGCGGCAGGAGTGGTGGAGGTGGTGGGAGTGCAGGTGCAGCAGGTCCAGCAGGCACGACACGATGAACTGCCGGCACGACTTGTCCACCGCGTACCGCTCCATCTCGCCCTCCACGTTCACCAGCTCCATCCTCCCGCTGCCGAACCTCCCCCGAGCTTAACCCCGAGCCTTTCCCCGAGCCTGTCCCTGCTGTTGCGGTCGTTGGCAAGCCTGTCGGGTTCGTCCTGAGCCTCTTGGCATACCTCCTCCCCTACCGCCTCCCCTACCGCCTCCCCTATCTCCTCCCCTACCGCCTCCCCTACCCCCTCCCCTCCGTCGTTCCCCTTCCCTTGTGCGCCCTGCTGCTTCTCAGCCTTTCCTTGCGCCCCTCCCTCGGGCTCCCGGCCCATCTGCACGTTGGCCTCACCCTCTACTGATGCGTCATTGTCACACCCGTTATAGGGACCTCTCTGTTTAAGCACCTCTGGCAGCAGCACGCATCCCCCTTCCTGCCCTGCCGCTTCCTCCTCCCTAACCTCCCCTCCTTCCCCTCCTTCCTCCTCTCCCTCCTCCCCCTCCTCCCCTCCTCCCCCTCCTCCCCCTCCTCCCCCTCCTCCCCCTCCTCCCCCTCCTCTCCCTCCCCTCCCTCCAAGTCACTCTCGTCACTCCCCTCCTCCACCCTCACAAAAGGCCGAGTCTGGCCGACCATATCGAGCACGCGCAGAATACAAAGCGCCATGCTGACAGGCTGGCGGTCGGCCAGCGACCCTGCAAGCCCCAGCATCCTCGCCACGTCAGCATAGCTTGGCACATCCGTTTCAGTCCCATCCAATAAAAGCACATCTTGCACCAGCTTCTGCTGTAATCCGTTTCTAGTGGTCGATCTCCACCTCCTCCTCCCATGCCCCGCAGCGCTCGCATTACTTCTTAAGCTCCTGCCCGAAACCGACCCGTCCTCGCTCGGGCGGGACGAGAGCGTCAAGCTGCCCGAAAAACTCCGGAGCATGCTGCCCGCTACAGTGGTCATGTCAACCGTGGGGAGGAGACTCAGAGTGCTAAGGCTGCTCGTGCTGCTGCTGTCGATGGTTGACGCCGCCGATCGGGTCCGGTTGCGAGGTGGAAGAACCGACGATGATGATGATGGTATGGCGCTGAAACTGCTGCTGCCCATGCCGCCTAAGGGGGACATGCTTGTAGTCCATGCTGACATGCCAGTGCCACTATAGCCGGCCCCGGGAGTGCCGCTCGCTGCTGGCGTAGATGCTGCAGGTGCAGCAGCAGCAACCAGGAAGCTGTCAGTGGCACCAAAGCCGGAAGTGAACCAACTGGTTGAGGTACTGCCCACTGCATCAACGCCCCTAAGCGCTCCAGAGCCAACAGCACCAGCAGCAGCAGCACCAGCAGCAGCAGCAGCAGCAGCAGCAGCCCCTGCCTCTCCTGCCCTTCCTTCCCTCCTTGTGGCACTGAGCCACTCTCCTTGCTGCTCCTTCTCTTGCCTCCTTTCACCGTGCGGGACGGCAGAGAGGACCGCCGCTTTGGCTGGCTCAAGGGGCTGGTGATGGCACTGGAGGTGGCAGCAGCAGTGGTGGTTGCGGCAGCAGTGGTGGTTGCGGCAGCAGTGGTGGTGATGGTAGCACCTGCAGCGGTAGCAGCAGCAGATGCACCCGACGCACTGAAAGAACCACCACCTGAGCCAGGAGAAACAACAGAAGCCGCACCTGAAGCAGCAGAAACACCTGAAACAGCAGAGACGCACGAGGCTCGCCTCTTATGGCCAAGAAACCCCCTCGCCTGGACGGCCTCCTCTCTCTCCTCCCACGCGCGCCCTGCCGCCCGACACAGGTCCTGCCACTGTTCGTACTCCCGCTCTCTAAGGCTCTCCCTGAACCACCCCCCCGCGGCGGGCGGGGGGAGTGCTGGGGACGGCGGAACTGAGGAAGGGGGAACCGGGGAAGGGGGAACGGTCGCTGTTGCTGAAATAGTTGCTGGTGCTGTTGCTGCTCCTTCTGTTCCCGCTCGTTCAGTGGGCGCAGGTACAAAGACACGCTCCGCCCCTGCAGCACCTGGCGTGACACCTGAAGCATTGATGCCGTCAGGTGCCTCAGGTGCCTCCTCAGGTGCCTCGGGTGATTCGGGCGCCGCCTCAGGTGCTTCAACGATGTGGTCTGCCACGATGACACTTCCTACCTCCTGCTTCGCGTCCTCCTGTGCCTCGTCCTCCTGTGCCTCGTCCTCCTGTGCCTCGTCCTCCTGTGCCTCGTCCTCCTGTGCCTCGTTAACCCTCTTCCCACCCGCGCCTTTCACTTGCCGCTCTGTTTCCCCAGGACGCTCGCCCCTCCCCCCTCTCTCCTGTTCCCCCTCGTCCTTCTCTCCCCTGATCTTCCCCTCACCGCATCCCCCTTCCCCTTCCCCTTCCCCTACCGCCAGGACAATGCTCACCCGCTTCCGCTCCTTAGCGGCTCCGCCTTCCGCCTGTGCGGACCTAGGAAGCGTAACAGCAGGCACAGGCGCAGCGCCTGCCCCCCCGCCCGCGCCCCATTTCCCCCTGGCCGGCGCAACCTCCCCCCCGCGCCAGAGCATCGTGCGCGGGGAGCCCAGGGACCTCCGCCGCGCCCGGGGCGCTTCTAGGGACGCGCTGGGGTCTTCCCCCCACTGCTCCCAAAACTCCATCCAGAACGCCATTCCCACCAGCAGCGCTTCCTCCATTCGCTCCACACTTAAGTAAACACCGCTTTCCGCCCCCTCTCCGCTGGTGGTAACATTGCGCCCATCGGGCGCATCTCCCGCAGGGCTGCGCGCGCTGGCCCAGTAGCCACCGCGGGCTCCCCCTCCCCCTCCGCCTCCGCCTCCGCTTCCGCTTCTTTCGCCGAGCTCCGCGCCGTTCCCCCCCCGAGCTCCGCGCCGAGCTCCGCCGCCTCCTCTATCCGCTCCACCAGGCGCTGATACTCCGCCTCCGCGCGCGCTTGCATGTCTAGGAGCCCCGCGCGGATGACGTCATCCGTCCCGCCCAGGGGAAGCAGCAGCGAGCGCGAGCGCGGAGTCAGCGGCTGCGGGTGCACGAGGGGGAAGTACGGCGGGGGGAGCGCGCGCGTGCGCGGGGAAGGAGAGGAGGTGGAGGAGGCGGAAGAAGCGGAGGAGGAGGAGGAGGCGGAAGAAACGGGCGCGGAAGCGTGAATCAAACGGGGGAATAGGTGGAAAACTCCGAGGATGGGGAGAGAGATGGGGAGGAAAGCCGGTCGAGGAAAATAGAAAGCAGCCCCGGAAGCGCGTCGCCCGGCGGGATTTGCGCCATGATTTGGCGCGCGCGGAAGAGGCCGCCATTAACGGGCGTGAAGGGGCCGAAGTGATGCGGGTTATTGGAGAAGAGGTCGGAGGGGGACAGGCAGATGGGCCAGAGCTGAGGCTGCGGCTCCTCGTGTATCGGCTGCGCGGAAAGCGCCTGCCCCATGGCTGTACCACGGTGCGACGTAAGCAAGAGGACTATAACGGGTACGTACGTGACGTAAAAGAGAGCGCGAGGGAGTTTTGACGATCAGCCTAGAATGAAACTACTAGCGGGCAAAGTGGTCCGGGGTTGTTGGAGAAGAGGTCGGAGGGCAACAGGCAGATGGGCCACAGCTGCGGTTGCGGCTCCCGGCGTATTGGCTGCGCGGAACGCGCCTGCCCCATTTTTAGGAATGACGAACGGCTCCAAGGTAACGAGACCTTCAGGTAGGTAACGAGACGGATAATAACGGGTATAGGCCGTAAAAAGAGCCTGGAGAGTGCCGTGACGTTCGGTTTAACAATCGACAGGGTACACGAGATGAAGGACGGACGGCAATGCGACTGTCGGCTAGCACCGCGAAAGCGCGCTAAAAGGCTACGATTCGATGGATTCCGCAGACTCCAAGGAATAAAGCTCCCCGAAAGACGGTCACGAAAGGAAGCAAAAGAACGAGTCGCCACGGGTGAAATTATTACGTCGCATCGTGCCGCGTGCAGGTTCCATGGGAGGACAGAGTGAGCGAGCCGCGCGCAGAGAGCTGCGCGTCTGCGCGACGATTCCGCGTCTACTAAGAGGTTCCAGCGGAACGTAATAGGAGAGCCGCGTGGAATGGACGGACGAATGGACGCATGGACGGATAGAAACAGAAGTCGACGGCCGGGAAAGCGCGAAGGACGGTGGTAAGGCCTTTCTGAGCATCAAGAGAAAAGCTGGTGGTCGCAGTGGGCGGGGTGGGTGGCAGTGAAGGACAAGACGTTCAGCTGGTGTACTACTCGCGCGATTGGCTTTGCTGCTCTCACGCTCTTCCATGCGGCACTGGTGCTGCTTATGCGGGCGGGCCCTCTTCTCTGCTCTGCTCTGCTCCACCCTGCTTGGCTCAGCTGTGCTCTGCCCTTTGATAGGGGCTGTTTGTTTTTGGTCTGGGAGGGAGGTTGAATAGGGCTTGCGCTGCGTTGCGTTGTGAGCGGAAGCGCAGCGATCAAACGGGGCTAACCTAAGCGGGCAGGGGGGTGAAAAATAGGGGCTCGAATAAGCGGGGGTGCAGTACTGTGCGTGAAATGTGCAATGGATTGATGTGCGCTTGCCGTGCGGGGGCGAGCACCGCTCGAACGAACAACGCATGGTAACAGTTTCTCCGAGGGGCAGTTTTGTGGTGCCGCCCGAAAAAATACTTCGACGAGGGTTTCCTTGCCCAAACGCAACGAAAGCGGTCGAGTCTTCGTTGATTGGGTCCCCCAGCTCCGGATCAGCAAGGTCCAGGCTGATGAAAAGGCTTGTTCCGGAGTATCCCATATTTGTGGAAAAAGGTTATGGTGTATTAAACTATTTCCCTGTAGGACCAGGGTCCAAATGAGGGGAACCAGACATTTGGAAGGATGAAGCTGGAACAGTGTGCATACCTAAAGATAGCAATCCCGAATTGTCTGATGTACAGTGACAAAAAAAATCGGATTCCCACAGTGAGCTGCTTGTTGAAGGGGTAAGGGACGTCAAACTGAGTTCGAAAAAAAAGTGTCTGGGTTCCGTACCACGTAGAGCTCTGTTCGGTCACCGCGATTCGGATGAAAACACATGAACTCAACAACTGAACGGTAGATCTTCATGAACAGAACTCGCAAGGGTAACTACCCTGCCAGCGTTATATCAATACATTGTAAAACCACGTCAGCTCGCACGCTAGCCATTATGAGGCATCTTGAACATGGGCATCCAGGGTGGCAGCCAAAGCAGCCACGTGAGTAACTTCGATTGAGCACACCCCGTTGCTAGTTACGTCTCTTGTCAATACACGGGTAAGTATCATAAGCCATATCATATGCACTTTACTTTCCAATTACACGAAGGAGCTATTTAATCCTCACTACAAGTACGAAACAGGACGTGCGTTACAGAATAACAAAATCAAGTCGCGATGATGGTCGAACCGCACGATTAACAGGAGCCCCCGTGATCTGGACGGTGAGCGACATGCAGCGGTACCCTCGCGCAGTGCCACGTCAATATCGACGAACCATCCCAGAAGCATTTAGGGCGTGTGCCGCGCATAGGTTTCTCGCCCATACCCTACCCAGCCGTTTTTGAACCTTTTTACATAGAGAGCATCTCACCCAACCGCAATCGAACATACGCGCAGAACAGCCCATAGTGGTCAATCCGCTCCGCAGCCCGCTTCTCTGTCAAACCAGTCATAGTATTCTAAGCATAATTGCGTACTATGTTCTTCCCACAGCACTACACCTCTACCATCCCACTTTACGGTGGTCGCTGAAATTCGCTACTCTTTGACACGTCTCGAGTAACTGTGACTCTTTACGTGACCGCCGGTTTTCTGTATGTGGGCTAGACGCTTGTGGTCTTAGCCGCACCCGGACATTTCACAGCGTCTGTTGATCGCTTGAAGCCCATGTGCTTGTACAGATTTCGCCGAAACTCTTTCCAGGAGTTATTTTCCCAGCTTCGTTGACCATTGAATCTTCTTACGGTCGTCCGGTCCTTGCTTCATCCATCTTGCTTAAATTAAGCTTGGCTAGCAGGGGCAATGAACCTCAAACGAGTCATTATAGATTAAAGCGAGGATGACGTCGAGGCAAGAGCCATCGATCGCGACTACTCGCCTTCAAATAGCAACCGTACGATCTAGTGAAAGAAGAGACGTTTGACGGTTAAGATGGCGAAGGTGTATCAAGCCTGGAAGGGCGACAACGTGAGTCGCATCTCAGTGCCTTTCTTTGCATTTCATTTGCATTTCTCTGTCTTCTCGTCAGCGTTTCATGGTATTTTCATCGTCAATTCATTGTGTCTTTGTCATTTCACTCTCTTTCGTTGTCATTTCACTCTCTTTCGTTGTCATTTCACTCTCTTCCGTTGTCATTTCGCTCTCTTTCGTTGGCATTTCACTCTCTCTTTATTGTCTCTCCCTTTTCACCCCTCAATCGTGTCTCCTGTTCTTTCTATTCCGCTTTGCCTTCATTTTTTAGACTGTTCAAAACTAACCTACTTTACCACCGCTTTGTATTCCGCCTGTTTCGCCTGGAATACAAAGAAAGGGCGGCATTGTTTGTTTCGCCTGCCTCATCCCTCAATTGTGTCTCTTGTTGTTTGTTTGTATTCGGGCTGGAGACGACTGGAATACCAAGAAAGGGCGGCATTCTTTGTTTCGCCTTCCTTTCCCAATCATTCCTGTCTCCTGCCTTCCCGTGCTTCCAGGAGACTTCTCAAAACCCACCTCGTGTATATCCTGTAACACTCTCGCATTCCCCCTCTCTTCGCTTGTCCCTCCCAGGTTTTCCTGTGCTGCAGCGGCCGCATGGTCTTTAGAATTATCAAGAACACCCTGTGTTTTTAAGAATTCTCACAACCACCCTGCAAAAACACCCTGCAAAAACACCCTGTGCTTTTTCAATTGTCAAAAGCCCCTCGCTTGTCCTCCCCAGGTCTTCCTATGCTATGGCGGCTACATCCTCCTCAGTCCTGATGTCCGCTTGCTGGTGCTCTCTCCCCATCTTTTTTTCATCTTTCTCCTCAGCTTTCTCCTCACTTGCTCCCCCCAGGTTTTCCGGTGCTACAGCCGCTACATCTTCGGTCCCAATGTCCGCTCGCTCGTGCTCTCGTAGCTCATCGTCCTTTCATCCTTCTGTCATCTTCCTCCCCGTCTTTCTCCCCCCAGGTTTTCCTGTGCTACAGCCGCTACAGCCGCTACATCTTTGGTCCCGATTTCCGCTCGCTCGTGCTCTCAATCCGCGAAGGTCTCCCATGGAAACGCTTGCGAGCCATCGGGGGGAAACTCTTCTCATTGTAGCGAGGTGACTTTTGAGTCGAATCAAAAGTCACCTCGTCATACTGGGGAGGATACTCTTCTCATTCTTCTCCTCATCCTTCTCCGCCCCAGGTCTTCTTGAGCTTCGGCCGCTACATCTTCGGTCCCGATTTCCGCTCGCTGGTGCTCTCAATCCTGCTCACCCTCCTTTCATATTTCTTTCCACCTCCCCCCCCCCCCCTCCCCTCTCCATCCCAGGTCTTCCTGTGTTACGGCCGTTACATCTTTGGTCTCGATTTCCGCTCGCTGGTGCCCTCGTTCGTTCCTCCCCATCCTCTCATCTTTCTCTCTCCTCATCTCCCCCTCCCCCCCCCCAGGTCTTCCTTTGCTACGGCCGCTACAAATTTGGACCGGATTTCCCCTCGCTGGTGCTCTCATTCCTGCTCATCCGCATACCGGGGATGCTCTTCTGTGTCGTTCTCTCTTTTTGAGGCGCCTCAAAAATAGACTCATCCGCATTCCACGGATACTATTCTGTGTCGTTCTCTCGTTCCCCCCCAGATCTTCTTGTGCTACGGCCGTTACATCTTTGGCCCGGATTTCCGCTCGCTGGTGCTCTCATTCCTGCTCATCCTCATACCGGGGATACTCTTCTGCGTCTTCGTGGCCGCCCAACTCGATGGGAAGCTTCCAGGAGGCATCGCGGTGCTGCCAGTTGCAATATGCTACATTGCATGGGTGAGTTGATGTGCCGAGGTGGGGTTCTTTCACACGTCTCAAAACTTTGAGGTGGTCAGATGAGGTGCTGAGGTGAGGTGGTGAGTTTGTTTGCCCCTCCGAACCAGACCCATGCATGCTGGGAACAATGCGGACGCTCAGGATGCCTCTGTGGTATCTCTCTGCACCCCTGTTCATCCTGGTCTTCATGGCGTGCAGGGATCTCGGGATTGTGCCTCGGAATCTGGTACCACTTGATGCCAACCCTGACATGCTGGAGGCGATGTGCTTGCAGGGCGTGGGCGCGGGCGTGGGCGTGGGCGTGGGGGTGGTGTGGGTGTGCGCATGGGGGGGCGGTACAGCCTGCAGACAGTGATGCACGTGCTTGTGCACTCCCCCATCCCCCGCCCTCCCCCCCTCCCAGAACCTGTTTATTCTCCTCTTCACGGCGTGAAGGGGCCCTGGGATTGTCCCCCGGAATCTGGTGCCGCCTGACCCCGACCCTGACATGCTGGAGGCGATGCGCTTGCAAGGCGCGGGGTAGGGGGGAGGTTCAGTCTGCCTAACATGCAAGGCATGTCTCAGACCCCTCTGCACCCCTCTGTGTGCCTCTGCACCCCTCTGTGTGCCTCTGCACCCTGCATTCCTCCCCACCCCAGAATCTGTTCATCCTCCTCTTTACAGCGTGCAGGGACCCCGGGATTGTGCCTCGGAATCTAGTGCCGCCTGACCCCGACCCTGACATGCTGGAGGCGATGCGCTTGCAGGGCGCGGGCGTGGGGGGAGGTTCAGTCTGCCCAGGACCAGGGATGTGGAGATCAACGGGTTCAGAGTGAAAGTCAAGTACTGCGACACGTGTCTGCTCTACAGGTGGGTGCCTTAGTGTGAGGGTGTGTGGGTGTGAGGGTGTATGGGTGTATGGGTGTGTGGGTGTATGGGTGTGTGGGTGTGTGGGTGTGTGGGTGTATGGGTGTGTGGGTGTGTGGGTGTGTGGGTATGTGGGTGTGTGGGTGTGTGGGTGTGTGGGTGTGTGGCTGTGTGGCTGTGTGGGTGTATGGGTGTATGCGTGTATGGGTGTATGGGTGTATGGGTGTATGGGTGTATGGGTGTATGGCGGTGCGCTTGCAAGGCGTGGGCGTGGGGGGGAGGTTCAGCCTGCCCAGGACCAGGGACGTGGAGATCAACGGATTCAGAGTGAAAGTCAAGTACTGCGACACGTGTCTGTTCTACAGGTGGGTGCCTTAGTGTGAGGGTGTGTGGGTGTGTGGGTGTATGGGTGTATGGGTGTGTGGGTGTGTGGGAGTGTGGGAGTATGGGTGTATGTATGGGTGTATGGGTGTATGTGTGGGTGTATGGGTGTGTGGGTGTGTGGGTGTGTGGCTGTGTGGCTGTGTGGCTGTGTGGCTGTGTGGGTGTATGGGTGTATGCGTGTATGGATGTATGGGTGTGTGGGTGTATGGGTGTATGGGTGTATGGGTGTATGGCGGTGCGCTTGCAAGGCGTGGGCGTGGGGGGGAGGTTCAGCCTGCCCAGGACCAGGGACGTGGAGATCAACGGATTCAGAGTGAAAGTCAAGTACTGCGACACGTGTCTGTTCTACCAGGTGGGTGCCTTAGTGTGAGGGTGTGTGGGTGTGTGGGTGTATGGGTGTATGGGTGTGTGGGTGTGTGGGAGTGTGGGAGTATGGGTGTATGTATGGGTGTATGGGTGTATGTGTGGGTGTATGGGTGTGTGGGTGTGTGGGTGTGTGGCTGTGTGGCTGTGTGGCTGTGTGGCTGTGTGGGTGTATGGGTGTATGCGTGTATGGATGTATGGGTGTGTGGGTGTATGGGTGTATGGGTGTATGGGTGTATGGCGGTGCGCTTGCAAGGCGTGGGCGTGGGGGGGAGGTTCAGCCTGCCCAGGACCAGGGACGTGGAGATCAACGGATTCAGAGTGAAAGTCAAGTACTGCGACACGTGTCTGTTCTACAGGTGGGTGCCTTAGTGTGAGGGTGTGTGGGTGTGTGGGTGTATGGGTGTATGGGTGTGTGGGAGTGTGGGAGTATGGGTGTATGTATGGGTGTATGGGTGTATGTGTGGGTGTATGGGTGTGTAGGTGTGTGGGTGTGTGGGTGTGTGGGTGTGTGGCTGTGTGGCTGTGTGGCTGTGTGGGTGTATGGGTGTATGGGTGTATGGGTGTATGGGTGTGTGGCTGTGTGGGTGTATGCGTGTATGCGTGTATGGGTGTGTGGGTGTATGGGTGTATGGGTGTATGGGTGTATGGGTGTATGGGTGTATGGCAATGCGCTTGCAAGGCGCGGGCGTGGGGGGGAGGTTCAGCCTGCCCAGGACCAGGGACGTGGAGATCAACGGATTCAGAGTGAAAGTCAAGTACTGCGACACGTGTCTGTTCTACAGGTGGGTGCCTTAGTGTGAGGGTGTGTGGGTGTGTGGGTGTATGGGTGTATGGGTGTGTGGGTGTGTGGGTGTGTGGGTGTGTGGGTGTATGGATGTATGGGTGTGTGGGTGTGTGGGTGTATGGGTGTATGGGTGTATGGGTGTGTGGGTGTGTGGGTGTGTGGGTGTGTGGGTGTGTGGGATGTATGGGTGTGTGGGTGTATGGATGTATGGGTGTGTGGGTGTGTGGGTGTATGGGTGTATGGGTGTATGGGTGTGTGGGTGTGTGGGTGTGTGGGTGTGTGGGTGTATGGATGTATGGGTGTGTGGGTGTGTGGGTGTATGGATGTATGGATGTATGGGTGTGTGGGTGTGTGGGTGTATGGGTGTATGGGTGTGTGGGTGTGTGGGTGTGTGGGTGTGTGGGTGTATGGATGTATGGGTGTGTGGGTGTATGGATGTATGGGTGTGTGGGTGTATGGTGTATGGGTGTATGGGTGTGTGGGTGTGTGGGTGTGTGGGTGTATGGATGTATGGGTGTATGGGTGTATGGGTGTGTGGGTGTGTGGGTGTGGGGTGTATGGTGTATGGGTGTGTGGGTGTATGGGTGTGTGGGTGTGTGGGTGTTGGTGTATGGTGTATGGGTGTGTATGGGTGTGTGGGTGTGTGGGTGTGTGGGTGTATGGATGTATGGTGTGTGGTGTGTGGGTGTATGGGTGTATGGGTGTATGGGTGTGTGGGTGTATGGGTGTATGGATGTATGGATGTATGGGTGTGTGGGTGTGTGGGTGTATGGGTGTATGGGTGTATGGGTGTGTGGGTGTGTGGGTGTGTGGGTGTATGGGTGTATGGGTGTATGGATGTGTGGGTGTGTGGGTGTGTGGGTGTATGGGTGTATGGGTGTATGGGTGTGTGGGTGTGTGGGTGTATGGGTGTGTGGGTGTGTGGGTGTATGGGTGTATGGGTGTATGGGTGTATGGGTGTATGGGTGTATGGGTGTATGGGTGTATGGGTGTATGGGTGTGTGGGTGTGTGGGGTGTGTGGGTGTGTGGGTGTATGGATGTATGGGTGTGTGGGTGTGTGGGTGTGTGGGTGTGTGGGTGTGTGGGTGTGTGGGTGTATGGGTGTATGGGTGTGTGGGTGTGTGGGTGTGTGGGTGTGTGGGTGTGTGGGTGTATGGATGTATGGGTGTATGGGTGTGTGGGTGTATGGGTGTATGGGTGTATGGGTGTATGGGTGTATGGGTGTATGGGGTGTATGGGTGTATGGGTGTATGGGTGTATGGGTGTATGGGGGTACATGGATAGGGGAACAGGGGGACAGGGGGACAGGGGGACAGGGGGACAGGGGGACAGGGGGACAGGGGGACAGTGGGACAGGGGGGAGGGAGGCTGAGCGTGGACCGAAGCAGGTGGGGTTTGTTTTCTTCCGAGTTTTGAGGCGCCTCAATAGCAATCATAGTCTAGCTTCTCTTCCCTCCCATCAGACCCCCCCGCTGCTCGCACTGCAGTGTGTGCAACAATTGTGTGGAGAGATTCTTGTCGTGAGGCTCCTACTATAGCAATCGTAGTCTTGCTTCTCTCCCCCCCCCGCCCCCCTCTCCTCCCCTTCCTCCCAACAGACCCCCCCGCTGCTCGCACTGCAGCGTCTGCAACAATTGTGTGGAGAGATTTGACCACCACTGCCCGTGGGTGGGGCAGTGCATAGGCAAGGTGAGAGGAGAGTAAAGTTTTGAGGCGTCTCAAAACTCTCTTCATCACACAGGAAAGGTGAGAGGGGCGCATGGGCAAGGTGAGAGGGAGGGGCGCATGGGCAAGGTGAGAGGGAGGGGCGCATGGGCAAGGTGAGAGGGAGGGGCGCATGGGCAAGGTGAGAGGGAGGGGCGCATGGGCAAGGTGCGAGGGGCGCAGAGTGGATAAGCAAGGTGAGAGTGCATTCCCGACCATCCTGCCATTTGTTTTTCTTCCCATACTCCCCAGTGGCTTCTCTCTTCCCCTTCTCCGCCCTCCTTCCCCTACTTCCGCCCGTTGCCTCATGTCACTCTCCCTGTGCTCCCGCCATTGCTGCCCCTCCTCTGCCACTTTGAGACGTCTCAAAACACGTCTCTTATCACACTCCCTGTGCTCCCTCCATTGCCACCGCTCCTCCCCCTACACCTCTCCCCCCCTTCCTCCTCCCACCCGTCTCACAGCTCATCTCCTCCATTTCTCCCCTGGCCCCCGTAGGTGATTTTTGAGTCGACTCGAAAATCATCTCCCCCCCTTCCTCTCCCACCCTCACATCTCATCCCTTTCTCCCCTTGCCGCTGTCCCTCTGGATCACCCCCTCATCACCCCCTCCCCCCATCCCCCCCCATCCCCCCCCATCCCCCCCTCATCACCCCCCATCCCCCCCTCATCACCCCCCCCCCCCCCAATTACCCCCTCCCGCCCTCATCACCCCCTCCCCCTTTCCTCCTCATCCCTCCCCTCCTCATCACCGCCCTCCCCTTCCCCCCCTCCCCCCTCTGTCCCCCCCCCAGCGCAACTACCGCTTCTTTTACGCATTCACCACGACCACCACGCTGCTCTGCCTGTTTGTCTTCGCCATCTGCGCCCTCTACATCAAGCTGCTCGTCGACAACGCCTACGAGCCCGGCGGAGAGCCCAGGACTCTGTGGCAGGCCATGGCAAAAGCTCCGGTGGCCGTGATTCTAATGGCGTACACGTTTGTGGCGGTGTGGTTCGTTGGAGGGCTCACGTTTTCCACACATTCCTCATGGCAACCAACCAGGTGAGCCTTGAGTCGAACCCGGTGGAGAGCCCAGTACCCTCTGGCAGGCCATGGCGAAAGGTCCGGTGGCGGTGATTCTAATGGCATACACGTTTGTGGCGGTGTGGTTTGTGGGGGGACTAACGGTGTTCCACACATTCCTGATGGCGACCAACCAGGTAGGCAACGGTGTTGGATGAATGAGCACCTATCCATGGCCAAGGCGCCTGTTACGGTGATTCTAATGGCATACACGTTTGTGGCGGTGTGGTTCGTGGGCGGGTTAAAGCTGTTGACCCAAATTGCAGAAATTGCGATTCAAGTTTATTAATCTTGAACCCCCCTGATCAGTAACCCAGTTCCCCAAAGCGAGAGCAAAAACCAAAGTCGCGCACCAAAACGACGGGAAGCAGTTGATAGTCTTGCGCCACCCCCAGCCGATTCCGCCCCTGCCCTTGTCACCATGCGTTTGAGGGGAAAGAAACTTGAAACGTCCGCCCATACATTTTGGGACTTACGAAGTGCAGCGAAAGCACCACACACATGAAACGAGAGTTTTTTTTAGGGCGTGGTACATCTCGGATCTAGTGAGATCCGAGAGTTGAACTCGCAAAATAATCCCTATCGAGCGCACTTAGTCATTTTTTAAAACAGTATAATCGTCTACCACCGCCTTAAAAAATCGAACTTCCGTTTGAAACTTTCTTGTGATCTGAGTTGTACCACGCCGTGAGATGTGCAACGGGAGCTGCGCATTTCTTTCTGTCTGAACGCCAACTAGTTTGGCGATTTTTGGGCGAGTTGCGCAACTCGGCCAGGTTGCGAAACCAGAGATATTGTACGCGTTCATGTCTCCCCCCCCCTCCTCCTCCTCCCCCTCCGCGCCTAGTGCGGCCCACCCTTCCCCTTCTGTCGTTTTTTATTGGCAGTGGTTTTGCTTGTTTGTGTTTTTTTTGCCCTGATTGGTTTATGCGGTTTCGTCTTTAGTGTACTTGTCGCGTATGGTTTTTGCGACGTTCGCTCGTTGGCGAAGTACACTCGCCACCTCGCACCACAGCAAAATGCCCGTGCTCGCTGCCTGGCCCCACTTTTTGCCGGGTCATTATTAATACTCTTGCACGTTTTGGGCCACCGGCTTTAACGGTGTTTGACACGTTCCTGATGGCGACCAATTAGGAAGGCTGTGAGTTGTTAGTAGCGCTAACGCCTATGGCTGCGATTCTGATGGCGTATATGTTTATGGCGGTGTGGTTTGTGGGGGGACGGACAGTGTTCCATTCATTCCTGTTGGCGACCAATCAGGTGATCTCTTTTGAGGCGCCTCAAAAGTCGTCTCTTTATCCGCGGTTTCATTCCTGATCGTGACCAATCAGGTGACCTCCTTCTCACCTGATGTGACCTGGAATCAGCTTCTCACCGTATCCTCATTTTCGCTTTTGAGTCGACTCAAAAGCGTTTGAGTCGACTCAAAAGCTCCTGCTCACCTGATGTGACCTGGAATCAGGGTCTCACATTATCCTCATTTTCCTCTTTTCAATAACTCATTCTTCTCCTTTCTCAACATGTGTTTTGAGTCGGCTCAAAACACGCGCCTTTTGAGTCACAATCAGTTGACCTTTTTCTCACCGTGTCCTCGTTTTCCTCTTTTCAATAACTCATTCTTCTCCTTTCTCAACATGTGTTTTGAGTCGGCTCAAAACACGCCTTTTGAGTCACAATCAGTTGACCTCCTTCTCACCGTGTCCTCGTTTTCCTCTCTCCAACAACTCATTCTTCTCCTTTTTTTCTGAACGATTTTTTACCCACAATCTGCTCGTGTGCTTCTTCCCCTGCCCTGAATGTGCTACGAGAGAAAGACCAACCCCTACAACTTGTTCACTTTGGTATAATTTCACCAACCTCAACCCTCTTGTGTTTCTTCCCCTCCCACCAACCCCTCCGTTCTCCTCCCAACCAGACCACCTTCGAGAATTTCCGAATGCGCTACAAGCTAAAGAACAACTTGTTCACTTAGCTATCATTCCACCAATCTTACCCCTCTTGTGTTTCCTCCACTCATCAGACCACTTACGAGAATTTCCGAATGCGCTACAAGCGAAAGAACAACCCCTACGACCTTGGCACGCTGCGCAACTTCCAGGAAATTCTCTGCGGCCGGATCCCTCCATCCAAGATCGATTTTCAAGCCGAGGCTCCCCAGCCTGCCAAGCCCCCTGGGGCGACTTCCACCGTCTCTGCTGCTGCTGCTGCTGCTGCTGCTGCTGCTTCAGGGGCAGCTGTTGCTTCTGCTGCTGTTACACCTGTTACCGCTGCAGACGCAGCTGCTACGGCTGCGCTGGATGCCAGCATGGTTACTGTTAACGGCGCTGTAACGGTTACCGGGTCTGGATATGGGAAATCAGAGGTGGATAGAATTAAAAGTGCTGCTGCTGCTCCTGCTGCTGCTGCTCCTGCTGCTGCTCCTCCTGCTGCTGCTGCTGCTGCTGCTGCTGCTGCTGCTGCTGCTGCTGCTGCTGCTGCTGCTGCTGCTGCTGCTGATGCTGCTGCTGCTGCCTCTGTTGGGGGTGCTGACAGTAGTGCTGCTGCTGGTGGGTGGATCACCGATGAGGGCGTGGGAAGCTCGTCATCCGCGTTTGAAGCAGCGTACGCAGCCCTGCTGGCGCAATACGCGCGGCATGGAGCGGGTGGTGAGGAGGAGGAGGAGGAGGAGGAGGGTGCTGGGGATGAGTGGTCGTCCCATCCTGATGTGCCTGCCGAATCATTCTCTGCTGAATACGCCCCGGAGGTTGCAGCCCTCTGGAATCAGCCCCTGCTGAACCATCTGCTGCGTCGCTCTCTACTGCCCCTGCTCCTGCTTCAGCTCAGGCTAGCAGCGCCTTGCACTCGGACACTCACTTTCTAGGTGCTTCCTTCCCTCTAACACCTTCATCTCCAGCAGCAGACGCTGCCGCAGCAGCAGCAGCAGTATCACCAGCAGCATTGTCAACAGCACCACCACAACCAGCATCATCACCATCAGCAACAGCAGGGGCAGCACCAGCATCATCACCAGCAGCAGCAGCAGCAGCAGCAGCAGCATCACCAGCACCATCAGCATCATCACCAGCAGCAGCACCACCACCACAGGCAGAGCCAGAACCAGAACCAACATCATTCCCATCACCAGCACCATCCCCATTACCAGCACCATCACCATCACCAGCAGCATCACCTGCTCCACCTGCAGTGGCAGCAGCAGCAAGTGCAGCTGCTGCCCTACCATGCGGCATCCTCCTATCAGCCTCGCAAGGAATCACCCGACCCTCCTCCCGACCCTCCTCTCGCCATGCCTCGCCATCCCCAAGGCTCGGTTCTCGCCGAGCCTCCCCATCTAGAGGCTCCAGTGGGTGTTCTCCCCTCAGGGGGGTGTTTTCTTCGCCGTCCAGCAAAAGCCTTTCTTCTGGGTATGAGCTAGTGGAGGCTGTGGCATTTGCTGATGATGATGGTGGATTGGGAGCTGATAATATTATTCGTAACAGTGCTCTGGGCAGAGCAGCAGATAGGTAGGAGTTTTGTTATAAGCGAATGGATAATATGCATCTGAAGCTGGTTTTGTGTAGATTGGTGTTGAGTTAGTTTCTGTATAGATGCTGCTTTCACTAAGCAAAATCTGCATTGCCTTGGTTTGTGTCTATACTGGGGAAATTTCTGCAGCCTGTCAAGCTTACCTCGTGTCAGACAAGGGACGGCTATGATCTTCACACGTCAGCAAATACGCTGATGTGTACTGATCCCGACTGTCAACAACCTCGGGTCAGAGAACTCCCATTGCTGCAATACGACCGTTTGCCGGGGCGTTATCTTTGTCTACTTCTGAGCCACCTTCTATGGCAGGAACAACTTTTTCTGATGCTTTCTGAAGCAGGTCGAGTACGATATGGTCCATCCCATTTCAGATTTGCTTTTGTAGGCCGAACGAATCAGCCTTTCCAGAAATTCTCAGTGGCCCTCCCGGGCCGCTGAGGGGGTTTGGAAATAGTTTTCAACCAGCAATTGACGCGTCTCGGATAAACCTCATTAACTGCGTCATTGCCCCAAGCGCAAAGATACTCAATTCTTGCCGTTTTTGGAATTTATTTCAGCTTGTCGTTCCGTCAATTGTTGCTTCGTGGGTCGAGTTCTGGAGTTCAGCTGTCGTGGCAGAGCCTGGGGCAAGGATTCAGCACATCCTTCCCCTTCCACCCCCACTTCCTTCATCCTGCTTTCAGCGTGCCTCAGGGCACGTTACATCTGGTCCATGCGAGGTCCGGATCGATACCAAGTTCAGAACTCGGGATCAAGAAGCAGTCAATGTATTGAACCCGCAGATTGCAAACCCGGCGACGGGTCTCGAGATTGTGGTATGTCACAAGGGCGCTCGACGAGCCAGTCGCATGTTGTCGCTCAGCAGTTTGTAAACGAGTGCACATGTGGCATGACAAGGATTCACGAACCGCGGTTCGGTTTTGCCAGCCAATGCTAACTCCGTGCTGCGGACGACCTCATGTTTGCCCGAATTCGCGAAAGTGGTTTTGGTCGCCTTTTGTTTGGCGAGTCGCATTTGTCGCTGCCCAAATTTTTGCGCACGTGGGGTTTGTGAGAGCGGGGTTATGCCATTTGAACCGGAGATTCAAGCGATGAGCTGGCATGCTACTCGGCGTTAACGAAAGTGTGACAACTTGCGAAATTGTCACAAAGGGGCCCTAAACAAAACAAAATATTTCCTTATGAACCTGGCATGGACCAGATGTAACGCGCCCTCACAAACAAGGAATCACTCCCACCTGTCGCGTGGGCCTATTTCAGAACTACAAGCTTTCTTCCTGCACATCTTGTGCCGTTCGCGCTTCTTGTTATGCGACGGCTAGCACTCTGTTACGCGGCATTCTTGCACCTATCATGCGACCGCTACGCGACAGATGTACGACGTCGCTCATACGGCCTAGCGCAACTAAGATATCGTATAGTTGCAAGCCTGTAACCACAATGATAGACTGCGTTTTAGGTCACGAATTTCCTCAAGCCTCACTACCAGACGCTATCGCCTTTGTGGTTGCCGCCTGTCGCGTGTCGGGGCTGTTACCTTGTAATACCTTCGCACATTTTTTACTCGATTCGAATTCGCTGGAATTGTCAGCTACCCTTAAGATTTCTTTATGGTGGGGTGGGGGGTGGGAGTGGGGGCGGGGGGGGGAGGGGGGTGGGGAGGAGGCGGCTGAAACATTAAGACAGAACGTTACTGATCGTCCCAAAATGGAAATTGGGGTCGCGATGAGGCACTTAAACTAGGGCTGATGCGCATTTCAAGGAATGATGCACACTAAGCCATCCGTGAAACCTTGGGGTTGCCATGGCGTCCCCTGGGGAAGAATATCCGTATCTGTTCAGGCCTCCCTCATGGCATCAGTTCGGCCCTCCTTCAAATGCACGGAAGGCTGGGTTGAGCGCGCTAGGTTCGCGTGACGCGTCTACGTACGGCAAGTTGCCGGTGAACAGCGCTCTGCGCTGGTCCAGCTTGCGTCGTGGGGTCGAGGCTCGACGGATCCTGTCGGGTCGAGAGCCGAGACCCATGGCCGTCCTCACTTGCGGGCGAGGCTGGGTTTGAACTTTGAGCCCATTAGGTCCGCGTGACGCGTCTATGGCAAGTCGCGGTGAACACCCACCTGCCATGGAGCTCTCGGTGCCACGGCCGTCTCTTCTCCATTCTCCTGCCATGGAGCTCTCGGTGTGATTAGTGATTTCAGTTGCTGGACGCTATTTCAGCAGACTCAACATGAGGAAATGGTTGCTGGAGTGAGAGGCTGTTAGTGCATAAGGAACCCAGAACTGAATTACTCATGGTGCCTCATTAGACTGGTTCTAGTAAAAGCCTGTGCAACGCTGGGTCTGGTTTGAGTCTCGCACAAACTGCAGCATGAAGCATCAATACTGGTATGTTAGAAGCTACAAGGTGGTACAACGAAGGAGGCAGTCGCGTGGCTGTTGCGAATTCACTTGCTCTTCCAGCAATCTTACATCTACAGACTACAATCCAGTCTGCATTCACAACATTCCAACTTCTCTACACGTCAGCTGTTGATTGCCTGCAGAGCTCTCATAGATTCAGCAGGAACTTGTGTTTTCCTCCACTGCATGTCCAAGACTGTATCCCTTTATAAGTAGCACCGTTTCAAACGTCACCAGCCTTGACCATGAGAGTGTAGTTCCTGGTCGGGTCGAAGCACTTGCGATACACAAAGTACCCAGCTCCCAGCAGCACCGCTGTTAGTGCGGTAACCGCCACAAAGGCCGTAACGCCTGTCAGCACCAGCTTCCCTCCTCCCCCTCCCCCTCCCTCCTCTGTGTCTGACTCCCCTTCCGGCTTGAACTGTGCCTGCAGCTTTGATGTGGTGTGAGAGAAGAAAAGGGGGCGGGGGGGGTGGGGGGGGTGGGAGGGGGGGGGAGAAGGGATGAGCCAGGGTGTCTGGTCCTACACCTCTTGACTTATCGCCACCCTCTTGGCCAATCTAACCACCCTCCTCTGTGTCTGAGTCAGCTCGGGATTGAACTGCGCCTGGAACTTTGTGACGGGAAGGGTGTGCACGTAGCGGAATCAGACACAGCACGGGGGAGGGGAAGGGGAGAGAGGGAGGAGTAGGGGAGGGGAGGGGAGGGGAGAGAGGGGAATAGAGGGCCCCGCATATACCTGTGCCAGTCGCGCCAGCGTCTCTTCCAGCTGGCTTGTGTCAATCACCCCGCCACATGCCCGCCCTGCTGCCCATACCATCCCACAAACTCACCTGAACCCGTGCTACCATATCATCCCTTGAAGAGTCACATCTGTACCTTTACACCTCTCTGGCACTCACCTGTACCTGGGCCGGTCCCCTCACCCTTCTGAACCCACCTGTACCTGGGCCAGTCGCGCAGAGACCCTTCCAGCTGGCTCGTGTCAGTCACCCCGCCCACATGCCCGCCCGGCTGCCATACCATCCCACAGGCCCACCTGAACCGCTCTGAACCCCTGAAGTGTCCCATTCGTACCTTTACCCCTCTCTCGCACCCACCTACACCTGACCTAGTTCACCCACCCTTTTGCACCCACCTGCACTTGGGCCAATCATCCCCCCACCCCTCTGCACCCACCTGTACCTGGGCCAGCCGCGCCAGCGTCTCTTCCAGCTGACTCGTGTCAATCACCCCGCCCACATGCCCGCCCTGCTGCCCAACAGCCCCACCAACCGCCCACACTCCTCCCCCAGCTTCTCCCTCGGCTGCTCCAACAAACACTGCCCCACCAGCCCCGCTTCCCCCACCCCTTCCTCCGCCTTCCCAGCACTCCCTGCTCCCCCCGCTCCAGTGCGGTTTGCACAGAGCGAGTCAACCACTGCGTTACACGGCTTCACTAGATCTGCCTCTCGGTGGTACATCCACAGGGCCATCCGCACTGCATAGGCAGTCTCAGTCAGGCATCGCCCGGTGAGGTTCGCCTGGTGGTCCACAAGGCACTGCAGCACGAGCGAGTGGCCCTCCTTGCCTTCGTCTATCCCCCGGCAGAGCGCGTCCACGTCGCCCTGGCACTGCTCTGCCAGGGCCGCGTCGAGCTTGTAGTAGGACGACTGGCGGAAGGTCTGCAGATCGACCTCGGCCTTGCATGCCACTGACATGCCGACCTGATGAAAGGTAGGGAGCAGCCCCGGGGGGGAGAGGGGGATGTGTTGGGTGAGGAGTGAGAAGAGTGTGGCAGGGGGTGTCCACATCGCCCTGGCACTGCTCCGCCAGGGCCGCATCGAGCTTGTAGTAGGATGACTGGCGGAAGGTCTGCAGATCCACTTCGTCCTTGCATGCCACCGACATGCCGACCTGTGTGGGTGACAAGAGGAAGGGGGAGGAGTAGGTGTGAGTAGGAAAAACGTGAAAGAAGACAGAAAAAACCTACGCCCTTCTGGCACTTACCATCTCGTTCCCTTACGTTCGTTCCTGTCCGGAAACAGGAACCACGCCAAAATACATTTCCAACCACATAACACCACCAACCTCACCTGGTTACCAGCAGTGGCTCACCTGCCGAGACCCCTTGTGGGCTTTTGAGTCGACTCAAAAGTCACCTCGAGACCCCTTGTGGGCTTTTGAGTCGACTCAAAAGTCACCTCGAGACCCCTTGTGGGCTTTTGAGTCGACTCAAAAGTCACCTCGAGACCCCTTGTGGGCTTTTGAGTCGACTCAAAAGTCACCTCGAGACCCATTGTGGGCTTTTGAGTCGACTCAAAAGTCACCTCATGGCAACCTGCTCTCATGGGCCGTGCCATGGCATGGCAACCGCACATTATTACCATCCATTAACTTGCTTTTAAATGTCATGTCTGACCTCGTTGATGCTCATCTGCAAGCAGCCGAAGGCCAGCCCAGCAGTGGGCTGCACATATTAGGGTGACCTGTATCACACATGGTTACCATGTAACACCAAGCTCACCTCGTTGATGCTCATCTGCTGGCAGCGGAATGCCAGCCCAGCTGTGGGCTGCACTCCTGGCAGGCAGTGCACCATATGCAACACCAAACCCAACCCTCAGTACCCACCTCGTTGATGCTCATCTGCAGGCACCGGAAGGCCAGCCCAGCGGTGGGCTGCACGCCGCGGCAGAAGTGGTTGAGCTCCAAGCCGCACGCGTTCATCAGGGTGGGGGTAAGGCGGATGTCCGATGCCTGGAGAAAGGGAGGGGGGAGGGGGAGGGGGAGGGGAGGGGTGGGGAGAGGGAGAGGAGAAGGTAGGGAAGTGTGAATGACGAGCGAGAGGCACGGGTGGTTGAGCTCCAAGCCGCAGGCGTTCATTAGGGTGGGGGCGGACGGATGTCAGACGCCTGGGGAGGAGAAGGAAGGGATGGGAGGGGATTAGGGATGGGACTTGTGTGCTGGCAGAAGTGTTGGGCCCCAACCCGAGGCCACACGCGTTCATTAGGGTGGACGAGCGCTAATGAGGGGGGAGTTTTGGAAGGGATATATGTAGGCTAGAACGAGAGAGAGAGAGAGAGAGAGAGAGACGCAGCGAAAACGGTGTCGGTGCAGGGCCGTCGGGAATGTGTTTTGAACATCTCCGCGACGCAGCCCTCGCGAACGCCTCCGTCGCCCTCAATCTCCACGCAGTAGCACAGCTCCTCCTAAAAGGGACTGCCACACCAGAAGTCGCGGAGCTCCTCACAGCCAGCCGCCTGCTGGCGTTTCCGAAGCCGCAGGGAGGCACGCGCCCAATCGCAGTAGGCGAGTGCCTCCACCGCCTGGTGGCAAAAGCGGGCCTCGCTGCCATGAACGAGCCCGCCCAAAGCCACCTCCTCCCACTGCAATTCGGCGTGGCAGTGAAAGCCGGAGGCGAAGCGATAATCCATGGCGCAAGGGCTTTCGCCACGGAATTCCCGTCCGCCCTCCTGCTCCAGGTCGACCTATCTAACGCCTTCAACAGCGTCGACCGTGGGGCCATCATAACGGGACTCTACAACTCCCCTCTTCCCCCTACTCCCCTTCGTGCGCCTATCCTATGGCGCCCCCTCGACCCTCTTCCTGGACGCCGGCTTCAACAGCCCGCCCCTCCTCAGCGCTCGTGGCGTCCGGCAAGGGGATCCCATGGGACCCCTTCTCTTCGCCGCCGCCATGCACCCCGCCCTGCGCGAGACCGCCCAGGCGTACCCCAGCGTCCTCTGCCTGGCGTACGCCGATGACATAACCCTGATGGGAGAGCCAGCGGCATGCACCGCCGCCTTCGCCCATCTCACCCACGCGCTGCTCCCACTAGGCCTGACCCATAATCCGGCTAAGTGCGCGGCATGGTCCACGGCCCCTCCCCCCCCGACCTCCCCCCCGGGAATCCCCTTCTGCGCCTCCGGGTTGCGGATCTTGGGCAGCCATATCGGCCCACCAGACGCAGCGGCCAGTTTCCTGCGCGAACAGCTGGCCGCGATGGCCAAGCCTCTCCCCACCTTAGCGGCCATGGACCCCCAGTCCGCCAGCCTCCTCCTCCACCGCTGCGTCTCTCGTCGAGTCTCCTACCTGACCCGCACGACGCCGCTAAATCTGCTGCCAGCAGAGGAGTGGTCCCAGTGGGGACAACAACTCTACCACACCCTCCTGAGGGCGTGCAACCTCCAGCCCCCGCGCGGGGATCATGAGATGGCGCGCACGTGGCAGCAGGCCTCCCTCCCCCCTCCCTCGGTGGGCTCGGGCTGACAGACCCCGCAGTCGAGGGCCACACGCCCTCCTTACCAGCGTAGCCCACGCCCAGCGGCTCCTGGCCTCCCTCGCCAAGGACCCTTCCAGCCCCCTCGGGGCAGTGGCCCGCTCCCTCACACCACCCTACGCCAGCCCCACCCCCCTCCACTCCTGGCTAGCCGAATGCGAAGCGGCGCTGCCAGCTCCCGCCCGGGAGCTACTACGAGCCGAGCTCACGGAACCGTCAGACGCCCCGCTCCAGCACCGCATCGCCCTGGAAGTCCATGCAGCACGGTTCGCCGAGCAGCTGGAGGCGACCAGGACAATGGAGCTCAACCCCCTCAGCGGTCACACTCAGCGGCTCCTCTCCCTCACGGGGTATGGGGCGGGGACTGGCTCCTAGCAATCCCCCTCTTCCCCTCCCTCAGGCTGGCACCCCCTCACTTCGCCATAGCCCTCGCCTTCCGCCTGGGCCTCCCCTTCCCCACACCACGAGTTTGCAACTGCGCCAAGAAGGTCCAGATCCCGGACCCACGGCTCCCCAACCACCTGTTCCGTTGTGGGACAGGGCACGGGCGCACCGATACCCACAACGCCCTCAGGGATGAATGCATCCGTATGGGCCAGGACGCGCAGCTCATCGTCTCGAAAGAGACGGCCCTCTACAACCCGGTCGATGGCAAAACCGCCGACCTAGCCGTCCGGGACCGGGACTCGGGAGCAGTCTGGATCTGCGACGTCACTGTTACAGACCCAGTCAGCTCCAGGGACCCCCTCGCCCGCAAGGGGCGCGGTTACATGGCAAGGGAGCAGGCGGACAAGAAGACCGACATGTACCGCCACAGGGCAGAATACGTAGGCTTCTTCCCGCTGGCCGTTGAGACATACGGCTGCCCCTGCGCGGAAGTGCCGGCCTTCCTCAAACTCCTGGCACACACGGCCGCCCGGCGCCTTTTCAATGCCGACCCCTCCTCGTACCAGGCGGCGAAACTACTTAGCCAGTTTCGCCAGCGCTGGTCCGTCACCCTCCAAAGAGGACAGGCACTGGCCTACCTGGGGAAAGTGAACGAGGCGTCACCGCTAGAGTGGCCCCCCTTGGGAGGGCCTGAAGCGGGCATGTCCCTCGGGGACTGCTTCGCCGTGATAGAACCTTAGAAAAGGGGGGGGGGGGGGGGGGGGGTTGGTAGGGCCGGGTGCTGGCCTTTCCCACCGGCGGCTCTAGCCTACGCCTGCTCCACTTGCCTAGCATGTACCCAGGATTCCCAGCAACAAAGGACCATTCGAGAGAGAGAGAGAGAGAGAGAGGAGAAGAGAGAGAGAGAGAGAGAGAGAGAGAGAGAGAGAGAGAGAGAGAGAGAGAGAGAGAGAGAGAGAGAGAACCTTTAGTGGCCGCCCCTGGGTGCTCCTGAGGCGGGCATGTCCCTTGGGGACTGCTTCGCGGTCATTGAGCACCCCAGGGAATAGCCGGGGACTAGGAGCAAGACCAGGAATACCATGCATGCTTGTACCTACCTTATATGCCTCGCCTGTACCCAGGATCTCCCAGCAATGAAGGACCGTTCGAGAGAGAAGAACCTTTACCCATCCCCTCTCTCACTTCCACCTTCGCTATTGTCACGTCTCGCCTCCATCCCGCTCAGTCTGAGCTCCTCCCCCTTGCAGTCCTCTGGCAGCTCGTCAAACTTCGAGTGCCCCATGTTCCACACATATTCTTCATTCTTCTCACACCCACCCTTCATCTCACCTCCATCTCGCCTCCATCTCGCTTCCATCCTGCTCAGTCTGAGCTCCTCCCCCTTGCAGTCCTCTGGCAGCTCCTCAATCTTCGAAACCCCTCTTTCTACACCTATCCTCCATTCACGCCAAACCAACTGTTCAATTCGAAGTAGTCACATCTACCCCTCGTTACTGTCACATCGCACCTCCATCTCACTCAGTCGAGCCTCCTCCTGCTTGCACTCCTCTGTCAGCTCGTCCCTCTTCCCTCTATCCTTCACCCATCCCACACACCCTCCTTCCACTGTAGTCATGCATCTCCATCTCACTCAGTCTCACCTCCTCCTCCTTGCACTCCGCAGACAGCTCGTTCCCCTCTAAGCAAGGGCCCCATGTCCTTTTTGAGAATTCTCAAAAAATACCCTTTTCTTCATCCTTCTCACCACACCATCCACCTCACCTCCATCTCGCTAAGCCTGAGCTCCTCCTCCTTGCACTCCTCAGTCAGCTCGTCCCTCTTCCCTCGCAAGCACGCCAGCGCCTTGGAGTGGTCCCTCTCGCCTCCACACTTCTTCTCCACATCGGTTTTGCACGCCATCTTGTGTTAGGAGGGGAGGGGAAAGGAGGAGGGAGGGGAGAGGGAGGGGAGAGGGAGGGGGAGGAAGGGGAGAGGGAGGGGAGAGGGGAGAGGGTGGAGACAGTGTGGGAAGCGGCGGGGGGGGGGGAGGGGGGAGAGAAGGTTTCAGCAACTTGATTATGCCTGTCTCCGTGCCGCCACGCTCCAGCGCACGTAACCCCTGTACCGCCACACTCCGTGTTGTCCCCTCACCTGCAGAGGGATATCCAATCGGATATCAGCCACCATGCGCATCTTAATATAGAACAGCTCCTGCCGGCACGTCTCAGAAGAGAGCTTCCTCTCGCTTTCTGTGAGGCACTTGAGCGTCGCCCCCCCGCATGTGACGCCCACAAACGCACGGATGAAGTGACCCCGGTCTCTGAGCCGCCACTTTTCAGCGCCCTCATAACCTGCTACTTGCACCCCACTTACCTGCAACCGGTGATTTTTATCATTCTCAGAAATCGTCTGTGCCCTCATACTCCCCCCCCCCTCCTTCCCTAGCACCCCCCTTGCCTGCAAGGGGATGTCCAGCGAGATATCAGCCACCATTCTCTTCTTGAAGTAGAACAGCTCCTGCCGGCACGTCTTGGAGCTGAGCTTCCTCTCGTTCTCAGTGAGGCACTTGAGCGTCGCCCCTCCGCACGTGACGCCTGTCTCTGTGCCGCCACTCTCAAGTGCCGCGTCGCACGAGTGAATGCAGAGGTGCTGCACGTCGCTGAAGCACTCCCTGTTGAGCCGGAAGTTGAGGCGGTAGTCTGTCACCAATGGGAGATGGGGAAAGGAGAATAGGTGCCAGGTTGGTAAGGCTTGGATGCCTTTCAAAACGTCTCTTTCTTCTGCAAAACACCTCCGTGATGTATGCCTCCGTGCCGCCACTCTCCAGCACC